TGGGCCCCCGAGGGCAGGAACGGACGGAAGTAAGGTAGTTGACGAGCCGAGGAGGGGCGCCCCAAGTAGGGCCGGGGAAGGCAAGGAAAGCCTGCCCGGCACCGGACAGGCAAGGGGCGAGTCCTGCAGTAAGGTAGGCAACCGTAAGAGAGGGCCAGAGAAAAGGATGCGCAGAGAGAGGGGGCGCGCACCGGGTAGGCAGAAGACACAGTCGGATGAGGAGGATTCGCATAGACGAGGCGTAACAACGGCGAAGGAGGTCGCCGCTTCTGTGGAGAAGCAGAGGCTGGGTGGAGGCGAAGGTGAATGGCAAAGTAGCGACGAGCGAAGTTACCTGTGGCACGAGCCGAACTAGAGGCAACGCGGCGGAGTCTTGGGAACGAGGTAGAGAATATGAATGGTAGGTAAGAGAGTCGGCATGAGGCTGGAGGCTTACGTTTTCTGCTGTCGATGACTGCATTAGGTTATTTTCGTACTCTCTACTCGATTGCCGTGCGAGCGGCCCACCCGCCCTCCCACTAACAGCCAAATGGCTGATCGGAATTGTCTTTGAAGGGTTTGGGTACCGCGGGAGTGTGGTCGCAGACGCAATGGCCTTCCCCACAATAAGTTAGTAGTGAGTACGGATCACGCGATGACGTTTAAGCAATAGTCTAGGTGCAAAGCAGATTGTCCGTCTGCCGGGCGTGAGTATGGAATGCCCAGAACCAACATCTCAGCACCCTCCCACGAAAAGACACTTTCCTTGACATGGTCCTGCGTGGGCAAGGTGTCCGGACACCTTTTGAGTGACGTTCTCATTGACATGCCTGATATGCCATCACTTGACAGTACGTTAGATGAGGTTAGATGAGGTACAAAAGCAGTCCACGAGTCACGTGCGCATTTCAACACCAGTACGTCTGTACTTTAAAAAACGCGCAGTGTACCTCAGTAGGCTATACAACCCATGGACGAACTGGAGCTCGGATTTTGGAGTTGCCATTTAGCACGCAGACATCGTGCACGCAGAAGGGCTCACAAAGCAAGAATTCAACGCATATTCGGGCACAAAAAGAACAGAGGAAGGAAAATGGCATAATTATTTGCAATTTTTAAGTTAGCCACGCCACGCGTGTGTCCGTGCTGATCATCGGCTCGCATTGCTGCACATAATTGCTGCAAAATCTTGTAAAAACTGGACGTGAGTCCTTCGCTGTGCAGCAGCAGTGAACCATTCCATTGCCCGCATCCTGCATAAGTGCCTTCTGCACTGCTGTCTCTCGCTGTAATGCCCGGAAGTCACGCATTTGTGCCTCCCGTCCAGCTAAGGTCTGTCCGGAAAAACAACTAACGTTTCCACGCTCAGGCGCTGACGGCCAGGCATGGAATGAAATGCATGCTTCATCAGAGCGCCCGGCATTTGGAAGGACGCCTCAGGAGACCCCGATCCAGCAAGGCGAATAATGCGAAAAGGTAGGGCCCCGCTGGCTTAAGTCGGCTGACAGCAATCTCTCCAGCTGGTCATGGGTCTCCTGGAGCAACTCGAGGCTCCTTTTTGGGTACGCAATTCCGTCCTCCGTTCAGACTATGCGAGACATTTCAGCCGAATGGTGGGGTCCCGGTGGACGCGGATATTGTCCTCCGATGATCTGGGTGCCGTACAATGCGCTATCTGGGTTGGGCGGACTGCCGGGCGCTGGTCACATTGCTGGACGTGGCAATGGTGCGTGTATGTATGTGTGTATGTGTGTACGTTTGCATGCCTTGAAATGATTCGAGCCGCGAAAAGCAAGTGATAGGTGAGAAGTGGTACAAGAGGAAGAACGTTAACGTTGATGTGTGTGGGTGCGGGTCGGGAAAGGGAAGGCAGAGGTTAAGACGCGCATGATGGGGAGAACGGGCTAGGGGGAAAGGACGGGGCTCAGCACGTGGTGGCGATGAAGGACAGGCAACGTTGGGGTTTGCGGAGAGGAGGGGCCGGCAGGTAAGGAGGAACCTCAAAACCCCTATGCCGCTAGGAAATCCTAGCTCCCCTAAATTTGTCTTCCTCGCGGGGTGCTGGGTGCTGAGTGACTCCTTCCTTACGCCCTCTACATCCCCTACACGCGGCGGCGCCGATGCCGTCGCCCTGCGTTCCCTACGTGGCTCTCTCCTCCAACACGCAGATTGGCTGCGTGATGCAGCACCGGGAGGCCAACGGCTCAGTGCTGGGGTTCATCGCGCGCCTCACGTCACCCACCACCCTCGCTCGCTGTCCCTCCACCGCCGCCGACGTGCTCGGGGCTCACCTGGTGCCCCGCGCGCCTATCTTTGTCCGGCTGCTGCTGTCGGGTATCTCGTCGCCGCTGGTCCGTTGTGGCGGCAGTTGGGAGACCGTTGGTCCGTTGTGGCGGCAGGCCATTTCGGCTTGGCCTCTGAAATTGGGGCATAGCTGTTGCGTTTCGAGTTAAAGGCAAACGACGGTGTATCATGTTACAACGAGAGTAATTATGTCGCAGCGGGGTTTCGATGGCTGCAGGTGCATTTGCAACATAGTGGCCCAGGCTAGGCAGGGCTAGGCTGCTAGGGCGCCCATTATGAGTTTGGCGACGTCCGGCACCACCGGAAACCACCGGCGCTATGCAATAGTTGTGGATGAGAGCTACATCTCACACTGCAGGTGAGACCCCGTCAATTGACCGCTGTGTACGAATGTACAGCATAATCGCCGTCACACGGCCACACGGGCATACCCTTTAGGGTTTGTTTGTGCTTTATATTGATCATGACTAAAATTCTATGCAATGCGAAAGGCCTAAAAGTATTGCGGGTCGGTACGAGATGGATGCCCACATAAACCAGAAGTTGCAGACCATACTGCCGACGCCGGTGGCGATCAAGAATTTCGATGGCAGCACACCCCGCGGGACGTCGAGTAGTGCATCACAAGGGCGCACAAGGATGTGGACGAGAAGCCCCAGTGGAAATCCAGGCATTTTCAGGCGGTGCAATTGTCCCAATCGCAGCAGCTGCCGTATGATGATGACCTGCAGGTAGCAGCCCTGCAGCCTTCGCAGGCGGAACAAGATCACAATCGCTTAATATGATGCAATGAATGCATCTCATTTGTTCCGGGTTATGCCTTTTAAATAGTATATATAATACGCCTGTCCTGTCCTGTCCTGTCCTGTCAGGCTTCCTAGCTTTCCTAGCTGAGCCTCGGTGGGCGCCTACCATCCGCGAATTGCATGGAACATTAAAACTTCGGGATTTTCTCTTTAATCTACCGCTCGCGTGTGTTTGTTTGTTTCCATTAGTTCATTGCACGCACCTGCTATTAGCCGCCGCCTGGTGGATGACATTGGAACGCTTCTGGTTCATTGTCGCGACCGATGCATTTCGCTACACCGCTTCTTTCCACTCAGAGCTAACAATAATGAGTAAACCTACTATTAGGCCTGTACCCTTCACAACCCCTTTGGGCTTTCCTTCCGTACCCGCGTGCCCTGGCGGGACGCGGTCTGCTTCACCTCTTCAACCTGTCCTTTCACGCAATGACCAAAAATAATTTATTTTAACACCATGCGTACAAGTCTCTTGGGTATTGTACTGTACATACGGCGTGCGACCCATTTTGCCTCCTTTCCCGGTTCTGCCTAGCATAAGTAATTCCACATTTCATAAAGTGTTACAATAACACTCTTTACATTCGCAACGTAGTGGAACATCCAGCCTGTTTATGTCGGACAAAGCAGCTTCGAGATCCAGTTTGCTGATGTAAGCAAGGTCCGCGTTTGTGAAAATATGAAATCTGCAAAACTACCACTTACACAGTAACTTGAGTCTGATCTGCGAACGACATCTTCGACGTCCAATTCGTAAACAGGATTGGACGAGGCAGGCTCATGTAGCCCTTCTGCTGTCCATGCACGTCTGATTGCGATAAGTGACAGTGTTATCAAACAGTTTTCCACTGCGCAATCATATATGTCTTCCAGCTAGGAGGGCCGCATCATTTACGAAAAGTTCAATCACACTCTATGACTGCCTGTGAAGCCGGCGAGCCCTACCTGCAGTTACCCGCCGGCTCGGAAGCTAAGATGCAAACATTAGATTGAGCCTATTTAGAACCATTTGGCTGCATCCATTTATTGCGCAGTAGAAACCGGCGCATCCGTTAATGCAGGAGCGGTTAGGTCACCTACGAACAACGCTCCATGTAACCGGTGCCCATTCCAAGACCTAACTGTCGGTTCGCAGATTAGCGCAAAAAAACACATTGATTGAAGCATATAGTTACAACCTACCTGTTTTCTTATCGGATCCGTTTGCCGGTGCTAACATTTGGATTGGCATCTTCGTGCTTCCATGCAAGGTCTTCGGATGGAAAACCCGAGGAAAGCGTTTCCCTTATCTTTCGCGTCAAGCATTATGCTTAAGCTATTCCATAGTGACTTTTTATTTTGTTAAAGCGCAACCATCGCAACTGGTGGCGAAGTGCATGTGATACTGTACGGGGACAGTAATGACTTTGGACATGCGGGGACCCCATCCCTGCATCTTTTTATGTTTTCAAAGCCTGATTCTTTATTAAGGGTAGGTGCTAGCGAAATCTGCTGGAAGAGCTGTTAGAATGGGCGGGCTGTGCCGTAGCAAGTAGGGCCCTAGAACGGCTTTGCCGTGAAGCGCACTGTGAGCATAACACTGATACCTTATTCTATACGAGGAATGCAGAGTGGTGTTCATGCGGCTGGCGCTTACAAAACTTGACGCCTTACCGGTTTAATAATAGCGATATCCTTCGACGTGAGGGAAATCGAAATCATATGAAATTATAATCCCGGAGTTTACTTGTACACAACATTATACTTTGACGGCTGCCGCTTGTAAGACGATGTCTGAATGTCGGTGCCGTAGCAGCGCTTTCATTGCGGCCATATTTGCCTTGGCCCTTACGTTAACAAACGCTGTCGAAGAGGTGTTTATGCCCAACCAGCTGGATGCCTTGCCGAGTATCTTAATCATTGGCACGGCGAAAGGTGGCACGGTACGTTCATATCGTGGGCTTCGTCAGCCGCTGCCTCTGCGAGCAGTTGCCACCGCGCGCATAGCAGCTTACCATCCCTTACAAGCTCACATTGTAAAAATAATAACGAATATGGAAGTTTATTTAAAGATAAAGATAATTTGAATTTGCCTATTGCGCAACCTCAGTCGTGTTTCTTGCACCTCCAGACAGACCTCTACAAGCAGCTTACGTTTCCGAAGGTGAATCAGGCGCCTGGCCGGGCGGAACCGCGTTTACCGGCTAATGCCGAGAAGGAGCCCTCGATACTCAACCGCGGCGGCATTGAGGGCAAGCTGATGCCGTTCCAGCCTCTGTACATCGAGTACCTTCACCTGCTGGGCCACCCCTGTGGTAACGCCACCGAGGATGACATCCAGGATTGCATGGCCACCCTAGGGACCCAGCAGCTCACACTAGATGCCTCTCCCGACTACTCCTTCTCCCTGAATGCGCCGTTGTACCTTAAGCAGCTGAGTCCCTTGTCGAAGATTGTGATGATGATTCGAGAACCGGTGGAACGAGTCGAGACACTGTTCCGCCACTACAAGCTGACGTTGGTGGGTGCGGCGTGCAGCTTGAGCCTCTGAGCCCGGGCTGGGCCACGTAATAAATGCATGAGCAGCTTCTCTTGTCAATCATATTGATCGCCATTTTTTAGCCGGCACACGCAAACTATCGTATCCGGGGCGTATCACGTGATCTGGCATCCGCTAATCGGTACTTTTCTGTAGTAGTAATATGACACAAACATCGCGTACCATAGGTAGAACTCCCACTTTCATGCCTGCCTCTCCACCCGGACCTTTACAGCCCTAGCTGCATCCACACTAAACGGCGTCACCTCCACAAACAGACAAAGAAACAACACTGTACTTGGATTTTGTGCAGGGCTGGTGGTCAGATAGGAGCCTTGACACACTCGCCGGCAACTTCCTTGAAGCCGTGCGCACCGACAACAAAGCAAGGGCCGCATTGCAGCATGCCGTCAACTGCCCTCCGGCGGATGTGGTCTGCCAGGCAGACGGATGGAAACGCATGGTTTCGCTGTACTTTATGCGATCCATGGATAACAAGATCTTCATGGGTGGTCTGTACCGTTACATGATGGCTGTGTGGCGGCGTGTCTACTTCCAGCCTGGGAGGGTGATGCTGATCGACTCTCAGGCCTACTATCAGCGGCGGCCTGAAGTAATGGAGAAGGTGAGGGAAATGTGTGTTGCTTACAGCAATGAATGAGCTATGTTACAGTGGATTTGAACGGATCACCTGTAGTATTGCTGCCCTCTGTTGTATGCTGTAGGGCGTTTTACGGGATCTCACATCCGCCGGTCGATACTTTTCTGTCGTCGTGATATATGATACGGCACCCTCACGCACCCGAACATCGCATAGGCCAGCAAAGGCCCGCCTTGGTGCCAAGGCAAAACTCGTATCACGACCCCGAACAATCCTCAACATACCTAGCCATACGCTCCATACCGAGCATTCCAAAGTGGAGATAGACCATATGCACGGCCGGCATTCGGCGCCAAAATGACGGTCACCGAGAAGGGGTTCGTCAAGTGAAGACACCTAAATTTATTATTCCGCCTACCACGAAGCCCCTTAACCTGCATACGGCTCATGGCGTTCGGAGGCTTGGCTGTGCAATCAATTACTTCGAGCGACCCATGCATCAACGACCATACATTCCCATGCGTCCAGCGCCATTAGGTTGAAGGTCATTTACGCTGCCTCCAGCCGCGTGTCAGTAACGTCCTGCATGATTAGTTCAGCCAGAGCCGCTTAGGACTCCTCCCACTTCTTTCAATCCCACGACAAGAAGGCCACCCCCGGGCGAACGGGTCCATGGAACGAGCATTCCCCAATCCCGGCGGATCCCTTCTGCTGCGCAATACCCTCTTTCAGTAATTTCAGGACCTCCCCCCGCTGCGGCAAGATTGCTGCCAACTCCGCTCCCGCTCTCAGGCTGTCCTTACTTCCTAGGAATCTAAGCACCTGAACTTCTCCACTAACCCGACCGCCTGAAGTGTCCACGGAGTTGAAAGGACAGTAGGGCGCCTGCAGCCGGGGAGGAGGGTTGGAAAGATGTGATGGACTCGTGTTTCCTACTGGATTGCTGTGATCCACCTTTCCGCCACAACATGCCAAGCCGTATGTCGCCTGAAAACCTTCCATTTTGCTCTTACTTTTGGTTTGCATGTAATTCCCTTTCTATGGATGCTGGTTAAACGGCCCTTTACGGTTCCCATATGTTCCTCTTGCAGGTGATAAAGTACCTGTACGGCAGGCCAATGCTGCCGGAGGAGCGGGAGGAGGCGGCGTCTGAGGTCGTCTGGCGCAAGAAGGGCAAACTGCCCTATGCGGCCGGTTTGAAGCTGTCATTGGCGGCGCGGCAGCAGCTGGAGGAGTTCTACGATGTTCACGTGATGCAAGGGTTGTTCCGCATGCTGACGGACATGCGCGCAGAGGGTGCCTGGGTGGCGGGCTTCGACAGAGAGCCCTGGGAAAAATGTCCCGGCTTTGCAGAGTTCCATGGCCTCAGCCCTTACCAGCAGCAATAACAGCGGCCTGAAGTTGGTGCTCGAGGCCCGACACAGGGTCAGTGCTGGTAGCAATGCTGTGCATGTCCACGGATAAGTTTACGGCATCCTGCACGGACTACAGCGCTCCGAGCTGCAGCTGTGCATGTGCGACTGTGTCCAGCCCGCTCCGGCGCTATAAAACGGAACGCCCAACTGCGCAAACTGTACCGCAGAAGCCTCTGCACGATAGCGATTGCAACGACCATTGCACATCTCACTGGGAACGTGCTTTGCCGCCATGCGGCGGTGGCGGCTGCGCTACAGCGACTAAGTCCATGGCGGGTGGCGTACGGCTGCCTACTCAACGACATCCCGCCATTGCCGACTAGGACATACAGCCCTGCCCGCCTGTTTGGAGGCCTGTTTGGAGGCCTGTTTGTGATACCTTCTCACATGGAGTTGCCCTTCAAAGCAATAACCTTCATTGCGTGAGCGTAGAGAGGTTTCTGTTGTCGCTCTCATTGTCAACTGATGGATTCAAAGAGTTCTTCCAGGTGATGCTCGTGTTAGTTGCAAGGATGTGTTCCATTAAGTGGTCATACCCGATTTGGCTGCGGGAGAGGTGCATGGGGAGAGGTGGCACTACCCGTAGGGATGCCTTGGACATGCCCCAATAGAATGTCCAAACTTAATAATATGCCGTGAAGCATGCGAGTGAGTGAAAGCCCCTGCTTAATATGATATGGCATGAATTGCGATTGCACCAGACAGGTAGTTGGGTCTGGTAGTTAATGGTGGTTGCATTCGGTTGTTGTGCCTGGTGGCTGCGTTTGGCGATTGTATCCAGTTGTTGCTTGGGGTAGTTGCAACCTGTGGTGGTGACCATTGGTTTTACGGACTTGGCGTTTTCTTTCCACGCCCTTTCATGCACCTCGAAAGCATGTTTTTCCAGTCCACTCTTTGGTTGCCTACAGGCATTTGTTGGACAATTGGTTGCGCTTGGGCACGTCGTATGCCCCGCGATGCCCCGGGTCAACGCACCGGCTCTTTGGTTGGGGAAACAGGGTTAACCCAGCTTGCTTTGCTAATCGCTTTGCTAAGCATTGTTTTGGTTACATCAAGGGATCGCATCTGTTGGCTCGTTTCGCACTGAACCTCGCTCGAACCTCCTTGGGAAGGGGTACTGCGTGATAGTGGTGTCGGTTAGAAGTACAAAGCAGAACTGACGAATGCTAGGGCGCGAATGCGTTTTTGATGAGGAACGCCGAGGAACCGCAAATAAGTTATGGCGGACAGGGCGTCTCGCACAGCTTTGCGAACGCCAAAGTCGTAGCGACTGTAGGGACTGTAGCAGTTCGTTGCGTAGTTAGTGAGAAAAAGGAGAAAGCGGCGTGCTGCGTTCAAGGCGGTGTTTGAAATGGAAGTCGGTGCGCGAGGTGCGAGGTGCGAGGGGTTGATTTGCAATCCCATGGTACGCATTTGGGATTTACGGGATATCCGCGGTTAGAGGGTCTACCTGCAGGAGTTGGCACCGGGTAAGGAAGCTCAATTCATTTGCTGGATAGACGACAGCGAGTAAGTAGGGTAGGGTTTGTACGGTGTGAATAACGCTTACAGCCACGTATGGCGTATGGTTTGATCAATCCCGTCTGGTGTACATTGCTTTTTTTTTTAAGGGAAATGCATGCGTGCATAAGTTGCCTGTGCCAATATGCATCACAGAGCTGCGTGTTGCGTTTGGGGATGGAGGTATTGCTGTGTCATCTGATGGGCGAAGACGCAGCATAAATGTCGCCGGCTGAGTCCCTGCCTCTTCATGTTCGGGACACGTGAACGGCGACCCCACTGGGGTTTGGCAAACGCCCTCAAGATTGCCTGTGCACTGCTCGCCTCCCGGCGAAGCGAAGGCCCCCATACGTTGGGCTGCATAAATAACATCCCAAGCAAGGTCAGCAACACCGTGCCGTGGGGAGGCCTTTGCAAAACCTTGTCTGGGAACCTTGTCATCTTAAATAGCGCAACGGCGACGAAACACGATGTCAGTGCTGCGTGATGGAAAGCGACAGATGGAATTGCTAGCGGCGTACAACAGGTCATCATACTGCTTACGCATCTTGGTACATGTTTTCGTGCGCGTACTGCTTTTTGACCCCGTTGCGAGGATGTAAAAGCCCTAAGGCAGGCAATCTTATTAAAGGTGGGACAACGGCCAGCGTCCTAAGGTGTCAGCCCGTGCTAATGTATTGCACAAAGCGGAACCAGAACCGGTAACCCAATCCCTCATCCCGCTCCTCTGGAATATGATCCCTGAATACGAAAGGCTGGTTGGTGGTCCAATTCGGCTTTGGGTCCGCCGACGAGATCCTATGGACCCTACTCCAAAAGCGCACCGACAGCTCTTTAGCCTGCAAGTCCAGGCATCCGAGCAACAATCCGGGCTCTTCACGTCTGGTGTGGGGCGCGGATGTACACGTGATGTACGCCGCGCGCAGAGGCTACAGGAAAAGGAATAAGGCTCACGTGTGTGCATTCTGCGTTTTTACGTGTTGTCGAGGGAACAGAGGGTACACTGCATGTCCCCTTCCTGTAACAAAATCGACCTCTGAAGGGTACTGGCTTCACTTTCTTTAGATCGCAGTCACTGAAAGGCGTCCATAGATAGTAAGGGCTGTGCCGCAAGGACTCCAACAAACTTCCCTCCAAAAAACGCTATCATACATATTTATAGTTCAATTACCGTATTGCACCTGCGCACACACCGTCATAGACGTCCCATACCCGAGAAGGTCTCTTACATTTGTCTTCGTAGTCATCTTGTCAAAGTTTCCAGCCAGTCCGAGCGAACTACCCCATCCACCAACGCTCCTTGTCAATGCTAGAACCAAAACACAAAACAAAGTGGGGAATGGACGGAGAAGCTCGGGCTTGACCACCAGCACCTTCCACACAAAGACTGTTCAACCACTATAGAAAAAACCTGTCAGGTGCGAATCAAAACTCCATTCCGCAAGGATAGCCCCTTCCACCACCGTTCCATCTTCCCGGAGTAAGCTGCATGGGCCGCCGTCAGAAACACGTCATCGAAGCCGTCACAAAACACTACACGCAAACTGTTGCACACTCTCCTCCATCCGGCGCCTTCGCTCTCCCCAGACGACATATCCCGCCTACATTCCAAGAGGGATAACATAAAATATTGATCAATGCGAAGGAAAACGGACGCCTGCTATCTCTCCCTTCTACCTATCCCCAGGCCGTCAGTGCGCCAGGCCACACGCGTGTATTAGCACGTACCGTCTACCCCTTGCACTGCGGCAGCTGGGAGGGGGGCACAAGAAGGGGTCCGCATCCACATGACCTAGCACTTCACCATCCGCGCTGCTGGCACGCACCGCCTCCTAGCCGCCCCTCAGGTCCGAGTCCCAGAGTGCTTCGCCACCCAATCACGGGCGGCAAGCGACAAGCGACACCAGATCCCAAAACTCTCATTAAAAGCGGATCCGGTCCAGTCATGGGCATGCCCCACGCACGTTCACACACAGCACACCCGGAGGCAGTCGTATGCGCGGATAAGACGGCAGGATGCCACAAAACATGGACCCCAGGATATGTACTCCAGCGCGCCCTCGCCCTGCGAAATATTGCACCGCCGTAGCCACCACCACTAGACAGGGCCACACCCAGGGCCACACCCAGCCGCATAATAAGTTTTTTCACATCATCGGCCACTCGCTCACTACCGAGAGCTGCTGTACCTGACGCATCGCACGCAGTGAGAACCAAAATAGTACAACGCAGCAGTCCGTAATTCCCTACTCTTGCCGTGCTACACAGGGAAGAGCTGAGCCATGTGCATGCTGGGCTTCGCTGTGCACCCGAGTTCGGGTCTGTAACAACTGCTTCGGGATTTTGCGCCGGTAGGAAGCGCCAAGTGCCTCTCAACCGCTCAACGTCTGACGAAGCGAGGGTTCAATATTATATCCCCTCGAGAGCTTCTCAAAGCATCTTGTAGCGGTTGACGCCCAGCGTGCGGAGCCGAAGCGCTTGCAGCTTGATGAAGCCGCCTGCATCCGCCTGGTTGTACAACCCCTTGTCGTCCTCGAACGAAGCAATGACCTGCGTTGGATAACGCGCACGCGAGGGTGTCAACCGCCCATCGTAACCTCTCCACCACCCCCAAGCCTCCTTAATACAATTGCCTTAGTTAGGACTGAGGCGTATTATCCTTTATTGTCCTTTATTATCCTTTATTATTATTATTATTATTATTATCATTATTATAATTATCGTCATTATTGCTATTTTATTGCTACTTTTTTGGCGCCTACCTTGTCGTACAGTGAGAACGGGCTCTTGCGGCCGGAGACCTGCACGTTGCCCTTGTACAGCTTCACACGCACGGCACCTGCGGGGGCGGGGTATGGAGCGTATGTGTGTTTGGGCGGGGGGAGGTTGTGTGTTACACGGCACGGGGGAATAAAAGTGTGCCCGCCATGGCATTTGCGTGGGCGCATGCGGCTCCTCAATCCCATCCACAGCTGCCTTCGCCACCGCTCTGTTTCTCCTGCTGCTGCCTTCCTTCCTGTTTCCACCCCTGAGCGATATTCAGCTCGTCTTACCTGTGCAGAACTGCTGCGTCTTGTCGACCAGCGCCTGCAGCGCCTCTCGCTCCGGACTGAACCAGAAGCCGTTGTACACGAGCTCAGCGTAGCGAGGCATCAGGTCGTCCTTGAGGTGCAGCTCAGCGCGGTCCAGGGTAATCGACTCCATAGCCCTGCGGGACGAAACACGGAAGCGAAAAAGAGCGACAACGGGTTGAGGGCAGGACGATGAGGGGGCAGAAGGACTGTAGGTTAACAAAGCGAGAGTCCGCCTAATCACAACCTGCCAATACGATACTACAAGTGCCGTGAGCCAATCATAGCAGCCATGCATGATAGCTCGATATTATTTACCCTCCCACCTTTTCCATCCGCAACCGGCAGCTTCTCCCTGCTCTGCTGCGTGAACCTGGCCGTGTGCTGCCGAAGACATTACCCCTGCGCCCCAAGAGCGCCCAGCCGGCCTATCCCTCCCTGCAGCGCACGCGCATGCTCCCGTATACCCCCTCCCTCCCTCCCTCCCCCGCGGGGAAGTGGGGGTGGCTCAACAGCCGCACCACGCACCTGTGAGCCACCTGCAGGATGGTGCCACCAGGCGTCTCGTACACACCGCGGCTCTTCATGCCCACGAAACGAGACTCCACCAAATCGACACGGCCAATACCGTTGGCACCTGCGTGGGGGTGCGGTGCGTGTGTGTGTGTGGTGTGGCGTGGTGAGGGATGCATGGTGAGCAGTGGGTCGGGGGATACATCAAGCCCGGGTTGAGGAGAGGGGGAAGGGGGGGGGCGGAGGGGAGAGAGCTACAAGTGCGGGTAGTCCTAAACGACATAACGAGTGTGCATAGTGCGGCCGAACCCGTGGGCGTTTGTAACGGCCAGTGCACTCCTCTGGCCGCCGCTCCCGCCCCGCACAGGAGGCCACGTTGGGAATACAGGTAGAACCACCCGCCACCGCACTTCATGAAAACGAACCGAGCGAGAGGACCCGACCTCCCCCAGAAACGAGCCCTTACTTCATGGCCAGGTAAAGCATTGAGGATCATTTTCGGTTACATATTTTGATGGTAATTCGGGATACGGTGTTTCGGAGGAGGTGTTGCGAAGCGCAGCCCCGGACCCACCTCCCAATTCGTTCAGCTTGGTGAGCAGCGTGGCAGGGCTCATGCGCACTCCGTCAATCGCGACGGGGTTGCCCCCCTCAAACTCCAGCTCAATGGTCGTCGGCTGGTCAGGAGCCTGTGATGGTGGGAAGGCACAGCAGCACTAGGCGCCAGGGAGGGCAACTGCCCGCTAAGGGAAATAGGAGAGGATGCTCTTCTTCGGACCTCACTTCACTTCAAAAACCGAAACCAACGGAGGTTTGATCATCCGCACGTTCGCAAGTAGTACTAATTCTGAAGGTGGTCAAGTGTCGAGCCGCCGCCTTCCCTTGCACCTTCTCTCTACTGATAAATCAGGTTCTCTTTCCCCCTTCCCTCCGGAATCACATCACAGCCACTTCAGCGCTCTTGTAAACACCGTTTACCAGAGCAGTGCCGATGAGTCCCCGTGCGCGCTTCATGCTTCTTGTTGAACGTGCTTCATGCTTCTTGCATTTGGCTGGCCAGGAAGGGGCATGTCGTACTTTCTCGGTACGACAGGAAACACAACTTCAGGATCCAGGAAGCTGGGATCTGACAGGCGGATGTCGGGACCGCGGGGAGGCCCGCCCCCCCTTGTGCAAGCCCCCTGTTCCCAACCACTAGTCGAAGGGATGGAGGGCCCCCCCCGCACCTGCTCGGGAGACACAGAGCGAGTGAACATGGATTCCTCCGGAGCGACCCATGGGTCCTCCAGGGCGTTACCCTCGTAGCTGATGTGCAGCAGGTTGGCGTCCATGCTGTACGGCGGCTCGCCGCGTTTCTTCTGCGGGTTTTCAAATGGAAACGTGGAGAATAGCATGCAGCCTTTTATCCATAAAGGGAGAAAATAGTAGAGCGCTCTCCGCCCATCACACCCCACGTGTTGATGTCCCGCAACGCCATTCACACACTGAGCTGGCATTGCCAAGAGGTTCTGGATACCAGTTCTATCGCTGCAGGGTAAACGATGAAGGACGCTACATGGTCGCATCATGTACCGCAAGCCTCGAAATGATCTCGGCTATAAAACATAAAACGCCACGAAACAACTTCCTGCACGTATGATTCGCCGTACATACGAACTTTCGTGCGCGAAAACGCACACGCAAACTTCCTCCCACCTGCGGCACGGGGATGCCATTTGTTTCGGCGTATTCGATCAGCTTGGTGCGAGACAGGAGGTCCCACTCACGCCAGGGGGCAATAACCTTGATGTCCGGCTTCAGGGAGTAGTACCTGGTGGTGTTGTTGTTGTTGTTGTTGTTTGGTGTGGGTGTGGGTGTTGTTTGGTGTTGGTGTTGTTGGTGTTGTTTGGTGTGGGTGCGGGTGTTGTTGGTGTTGTTTGGTGTGGGTGTTGTTGGCCGTGGTGGGGTGGTTGAGGTTGTGGTAGTACAGCAGCAGGGGCCAGGCAGCAGCAATATGCTGCTGTCAAGCAACGAGGAACAGCTGACACATTCGGAGCGCGCAGTATCAGTACGGATGCTCACGTGACAGCACGTACGGCAAACGCACGTGCACGCGCGATCACATGATAAGCTAGAAGGGATGGGACCGGGTAGCGGATCCTCTCCGCAGCAGTACACACTCAAGGAATGAGGCAGCGAGGCCGCCAAGGCGAGGGCCGGTGGACACAAAAACAGACTCAAGTAGGTAAATCCCGGACGGTCAAATACACATATACGGGGGATCTCCAAGGTGCAGGCTACGCAGGTTACACCTACATGGCGGCTAGCAGGCAGGCAGGCAGCGGTGACAGCACCGGAATACTCGGGACCCAGCAGCCCGGCCGCAATGGCACCGCCATCCACTGCGCTTCACTGCAGTGATTGCTGTCCACAGATGGAAGCGGGGCATCTCCAAAACACCAAACTGGCCTCCCTTTCCATCCCTTCCTTGCTGTTCCATCCAAAGCCAAATGGCCAAATCCCGCCAGATACCGGAGCCCAAGAGGATCTCAGCAACGGAACATCATCATCACACCTCGACAGCAGCGCGCCACAACAGCCTCGCTCTGTAAAATAAAACACTGCAAAAAAAAACTGGCTGGCCCTCACAGGGCTCATCACTAGTCATCGCCCAGCACTCGAGGCCCCCCACCACCGGACGGGACGCCTTCACCCCTCAACCCCGCGGGACAACTGCATGGGCCATTACCTTCAACCACTAACTGGACTCCTACCTCCACCAACTGGAACTAGAAAAGGTCGGGCCGCCCCGCCAACACAGCCCTCTACCCTGCTAGGGCGCACACAAGACACCACACCACTATCCATCTCCGCCTCAAGATGCGGACCAGCGGGATTCCAACCGAATCTGGACAAAAGCACCCTGAGCTGATATTCAAAAAAACTTTGACACCAATCATTTTCCCCCGGGAGTAAAGTAAAGGCCACTGAGGTTGTTGGGCTTTTCCCCCCTTCACCTACCCGACCTCGAAGCGCACTTGGTCGTTACCCTTTCCAGTGGCTCCATGCGACACGGCATCCGCGCCCACCTCCTTAGCAATTTCGATTTGCCGCTTGGCGATGAGGGGCCGGGCAATGGACGTGCCAAGCAGGTAGGTCCCCTCGTACAGCGCATTCGCACTGAGGGGGGGGGGGTAGGTGAGCGAATGGGAGGGGTAGTTAGTTCTGCGAAGTGGGCCCAACCGCCTGATGAGTGGGCGCCAATGTGATTGGGTGGGCGGGCGGGTGGGCAGGCGGGCGAGAGAGGAGCATACACACACACACACATGCACATGCGAAGCATCGTATGACCGTACGCATTACTTCAACGACCTAAATCCCTTTGGGACAGAGAGCTGATGGAAGATGTTTCCGAACCAGCACTTTCTGCTGAAAGGACGAGGGGGAAACCATAACGGGCACGGGCAGGAAAGCCCCGGACAGTGCCCTCTTCTAATTGCATGAAGGTTTTATGTTTTATGTGCACGTGGGTTCGTTAGCATGAAGAGGGCTGACACACGTCGACCTTTTCCCACAGTTTGCCCCACCGCCACATCCACCCCCCACCCCTACCCCTACCTCCACCCCTACCCCTACCCCACCCCAACCCACATGGGCCCCGCCACGTACACCTACCGGAACATAGGAAACACGTAGTCACGCACGAACTCCTCACGCAGGTCGTCAATGAAGATCTGCTTAACGCCCATCTTCTCGGCCTTAGCGCGTGCTGGCTCCAGCTCCTCACCCTGTGATATGAGCGAGGGCCGTGCGTGCGGAGGAGAGTGGCCGAGTACAGATAGGCGGAAGAGTGCGGAGGGGCATGGGACGCGCAGGGCCAAGAAAAGTGGGGAAGCGGGGAAGTGAAGCGTCAAAGGTTGCTGATACATGCCTGCGTGCCTGCACGTGGGTTGCCAGTGCTGCGACGTAAACATGCCTACCTGACCAAGATCAGCGGTGAAGGTGACGACCTCGCAGCCGTAAGTATCTTGGAGCCACTTTAGGATGATCGATGTATCGAGGCCACCTACAGCGGAGGCGAGAACGTGACGTTAGGTTGACGAATGATGATGACACGAAGCATCAAAGGAAGTATGGTCTTAACAAGTGTTAACACTGTCGGAACGTCCCCTGTCGGACAAAGGAACCATCAGTCGTGCAATCATCGTCAACACGTGCCCGCAAATCAGCCGAGTCAACTTACCGGAGTAAGCAAGGACGACCTTCTTCACCTTGCCTGAAGCGGCAGCCTGGACCGAGACGCAAGCCTTCCGTCCACGCGCCGGCACCGGCGTCGGCTTAGCCCGCGAGCCAGCGCAGCGCTGGTTCAACTTCAGTCCTGTGAAAACATACAAATAAACATCAGGAAATTCAATTGATGGCGACCGTCCTGTCCCACAATGCATTAAGGGATAGCGACGAATGACATTGCTAGGGCTCTATACAGTCCAAGTGGCCCCCAAGGAACCCAGGCTTCCGTCTTTGATCTGATCTTGTCCGTAACATGCTGCTCCTTAACGTCACACACGTTGTATGCTTACCGAGCATGGTTCAGCAGTCACGTGTACGTTGATCGGGGCGGCGTGATATGCAGACACAAGCCTGTCAATTTGCCAGCGTTGTGATTTGGATTTAGTTGACACCACTGACCAGTGATCGACATTCCGGTACAGAGAATTAAGTTGTCAAGGCTTGGGGGCCTATGGTACGGCAACGAGTAAGCCTATGCTGCTTACATGATGACCACTTGGCAAAGAATCAAAGGCAGTTGCGATCAAACTTCAGGAGGCATCGTTCTATTTGTTTCCAAAGCGATGAGGGCTGTATCGCCATTTGCAAATGATCCGCGACAGTTAACAACTTTCGTGTGCCGATAGCTGTCGTACTCGGGATGTCAGCATCCCAATAGGGCTTCGGGAAATGAAGATCAGTGCTGTCGGCCATCCCATATGATGCATTTGATTTTGCCTTCTTACGCCATGCTTGTGCTCCAGGCTGTATTGGGCAGTGCACCTTAGGAGCGAAGACTCCTAAGGTCTCAACCCTGGAAAAAAACCAGTGCTCGGCGGTTTTCATACCCTTGGACATTCCAAGAGATGAAAACCACAGACGATGTGTGTGTGTGTGTGTGAGTCGAGGTAACAGACGATGTCAGTAACGGGTGGCCTTTGGTGAAAAGACGTGGGAACAGAGAGGAGTCGGCGCTTGCACGACGCATTTTAACAGGGTACTTCCCTACAGCCAATGGTGCATCCGCATAAGTTGGCCGGGACTGGCGGGGTGGCGGGTGCTAGGGGAGGGACATCGAGGACCAACCATCGGGCAACGAGCGAGAAGCCGGCAAGAAATGACCAAGCTAGCAAACGAAATATAGCACTGCTCTGACTCCTTCGCGCCATGCGATGCTCCCTACCTACAAGAGGGCATTACAGCACGGCACAGCATAGGGCCATGGCTAGGGAAGCACGCATGCGGCAATCGCAAGAGCGCCGGTGAACCCTTCCCACCTGGCGAAGCATCTACAGAGATATATTACCGGGGCGGGCGGGTTGCTCTCATACAAACCAATAAGCGCTACATCCTACAGGCTACAGCTCACAGCCATATCTCGGGAAAGCAAAGAGCCTCACGAAGACAGCTACCGGCAGATGGCGGAAGGCTGCTCTGCGCACCCCAACCAGAAACCAGCGGTTTCCTACACGCTTCACGGCGACACGGCTAATCAGATGCTACCAGGACAATTCGCAACAAGGACGGCCGTTCCAGTTGCAAAGGAGGAAGAAAGGTTAAGCGAAAATCGCTGTGGTGAAACCATCATGCGCTAAGCGAGAACATAAGGCGTTGGCTGTGGTATGAGTTGTATATCGTTCGTAATCATTATTCGTTATTTGGCAATGTTGCATAGCCCGTGTACGTTACGTGAACGGTGTAGTGTGTGCGATTGATTCCGTACGGTACGGCACCGTGTTATGCCAGAGAAGGCAATGAAGCAGAGTTGTTCCTCGAGTAGGGCGACCTGATGGCCAGCTACCTACTTTCAAAAAGGGTATCACATGGCCTTGTTGGGGGTATTCAAACATTTGGGTTTCTTCCATATGCTAGCGCAGGGCAAGTCGCAACCCATTAATGGCCTTGGGCTGAGCAATGCATGCAGATCGCCCATGGCAGCTGCGATATAGGTTTGGGCCCCCAACATGGGCTATAGTGCACTGCTGAAGTATGACCTTTACTCTCAACGCAACATGCATACCATGCCAGGAAGCGCCGCCGGCTTGCCTGATATGTCAGCTGCGTGTCCACCGCTGGCGAATTACATTCAGTGGGTGCGTCCAACCCACGGCCACGTCCATACAACAAGATCACCCCAGGTTGCGCCTTGTCACCCCAAGCAGCACGCACACCTCCCCATGCCGGCGCTACACACCCGCGTTCTAAACCTCCTTCCTAAACACGACACCGGTCGTGGTCGGGGACCATGATGGACATCGCAAGGCGAGGATCGCAACCAGCACGCACGCGTGCAAAAAAAGCCGGAAGCATAAGAACAGCCTCACAGACATGGTCAACCAGATACTAACACAGTCAAAACCACCAGCGCCTATCTGCGTGTCCATCCGGCACATGGCGACACACGCCGACTAGCAGGAGGAGTGCGATTCCGTTCCCATGCCAGTCAGGCGCACTTTCAAATGGCAAACGGAGTCCAACAGCCATGCAGAGTCTATCCCGCGGCCGCCGAGCCAAGCAGATAGCCAAAAAACATCCTCCACAGCACGGAACTACTGCTGAGTCTGCACTCCAGCAGAGCATGTAAGCAGTCAGGTTGCTGCCCCTGCTTATTTCTTCTTGCCGCCAGCACCCTTGCCTTCCTTGAGCTTGATGAACTCCCCGGCGTACCGGATGCCCTTGCCCTTGTAAGGCTCAGGCGGGCGTTGCCGGCGGATGGTGGCGCAGAAGTCGCCCACCTGCACCTTGTTCGCTCCAGAGACGACCAGCGTGGTGTTCTTCTCCACCTACAACAGCGATGCCGATAGAGCAAGGCAGAGGTATAGACCGACGTTGGGGAAGAGTTGCCGACCGGAAGCTCAGCGACAGCAAGAAGCCTGCTACAGCTACGATGGAGCATGCTGTTGCCGTTTTTACGCGCAGTGGTTATACTCAACATAAGCCATGGCAGCTGCGGCTTGGGCTATGGACCAGCTCCCAGTCCCGAGATGGGCCCTGTGCAAAACCCATCCCTTGCTACCCACACGTCCCTCATGCCACAACGACAAGCTAGCTTAACGAGCCCTATCTACCCCCGTGGGAACTTACAGCGACTTTGAGCCCCTCCGGAATTTCCAACACACGTGGCTTGCTGTACCCAACGTTCAGGGTCAGCTCCTTGCCAGCGACGCTCGCACGGTAACCCGTGCCCACCTGCCACACGCGCCAGGCATGCATGCATTCATGACATGGCGACCAAATGGTCAAGCGCGCAACCCTCAAGTGAGCGTACCATTTCCATCCGCTTCTCAAAGCCCGTCGAGACACCAATAACGATGTTGTTTACCAGGGTCCTGAGAGAGTACCATTCAAGTCAGCCATGCGGTTGCTGATATTCGAGAGGCGGACATGGACGCCTGCAGGATCGCTCACCGGTTAAGACCGTGTTGAGACATCGCCACGCGGTCATCTCCAAGCTTTGTAATTTTCAGTTTGCCGTCCACCTGCCGGGCAAAGCAAATTCATCGCCCGATGAATTGGGCTGCCATATTCTCGTGGCTGGCAAAGGACCCCGCTCTGCTGAGCCGCGCACCTGCTCAACCTTTACCCGCGGCGACAGCAATTGCTCAAGAGCGCCATTGGGACCCTGTGTAGGTGAAAAGGTTGGTAAGCACGGTGAAGACGCTAGCGCACGTGTGCGGCCTGAAAGCTGACCTTCACGCGAACGAGGTTGCCCTCTAGCGTGACAGTAACACCCTTAGGCACGACGATAGGCGCACGCCCAATACGCGAATCCTTGCAGACAACAGTCAGGCGACGCCGGCTAGCCGCCGCCGCGCGGAAAGGCTGGACACGCTGGGCCAGCATCCTTATATCCTAGTAATAAAGGAGTAAAAAATGGTGCTGCAAGCTTAATTGTGTTGGGGCTCTCCAGGTTATACTGCATCCGTACGATTGGGTGACAATTCCTTCTGGCATGGAGAAGCTTTTATTATCAACAGTACCTATTCTCATTACCTTGATCACCTACGCATGCACATTCCTATGCCGTAGAGTCATTCTGTATAGGTTGCTGTTGAGATGGAGAAGCGCCAAGCGGAGGGATCCACGGACGAGACTGCTCCTTTTGCAAAACGCGGGAGGTAAGCAATCTTTTTCAACCTGATCGGGATTAGGATGAAGACAAATGTGTGCCGGTAATCCCGGTCGCAGCAGTTGGCCACCCTCCAGCTTTGCGGCCTTATGGCCTATTATTGGTGCTTTGAAATGTGACTTGCTCATGCGTTGTGATCCATGCCGTCCTTGCCCATGTCGTCACGGCACCGCGCAGGTGGGACTCGGGACCAGCACCGGCCACTGTGCCCAACGCTGCCGCTTCAGCAGCAGCCCTCGCGGCAGCGGTTGCGGCCAAGTATGCTCAGCCCCCTGCAGCTCGCCCCGCGGGCCTCGTGCCCGCCGTTCCTGCCGCCCACCTCCCAGGCGCTCCAGGCGCACAGCTACCCGCAGCAGCAGCGGCAGCAGCAGCAGTAGCACAGGCCGCTGCAGCAGCGCTGCAAAAGCTGCCGCTTTCACCGCCGGGAGCAGCGCCCGCCGCTGCTTCTGTGACGGGGCCGGCAGCGTCGGCGCCACCGGCAGCCCCAGCGGCCCGGGCTGCGCTGAACCTGGAGGCGCTCGAGAAGGCAAAGAAGGCGCTGCAGCTACAGAAAGAAATCCAGGAAAAGCTCAAAGCAAAGCTTCCGCAGGTAGCTCGAGTAACTCCGCCCTAGGAAGGGGGAACTGGAGAGGGGAGAGATTCTGGCTCTGAGACCTATAATCTTCTGGCAAACTCTACTAGGCATCCGAGGGGCTGGGGTTAAGGACGGAAAGCCAACCGGATGTGAATTCCAAGCTTTGGAAGTAGCAGTTTCCTTCATGCCACCAGCAGCAGGAGGAGCAATCTCCGGGCAGGTCGCCCTGGGGTTGGGCCCTCTATTTGCGCAGCAGTCACTCATAATGCCTTGGCTAGGGTGTCGCTGCCGGCTCCCATCCAAGTATGAGATGTGTATCAGGTCTAGGGAGGGTGGAGGGTGCATGACATGGATCTGCGGCAGCAGCCGCCCCTTGGTGCTCTAGGCGGTGACAGCTATTCCAGGAGCAGGTGATGCCCAACGTAGGTCTGTGAGCAAGGCATTCATCAATGCTGTGTGACGGCAGAGAAGAGCAGCACACCGTCGCTAAGGGCAACCCGCCGCCAGTAAATGTCTTCAAAACACCATGATCAACACACGAACGCCACCCCGATTTCACTAATCCGCAGCTCGCCGCTAAGGCTCCGACTGCAGCTGCGGCGAGCTCTGCTGTACCATTACCGACAACGGCGGGAGCCGCGGCGGGATTGCCTGTCGCCGTCGCTGCGAACGGTGCCGCCGCCGCCGCCGCAGGGCCCGCTGTTGCGGTTGCTGCCGTAGCCCCAGGTGGGATCGTTTGGCTTCGGGATTGGGGCTTCGGAGCGGGCTTCTTCAAGGACCGGCGCGCGTCGTGGCTGGCTAGCGGACGATAGTTGGCTGGCGGGATAGCGCATTGTCTCTTGAGGGGTTGGGGATTTTGTGAGCATTTTACGTTTGTGTGAGGAAGGGCGTTGTGGAAAGCACTACGCTCGTGGACACGAGATTTTTGGTCTTCCCTCCAAATTGACAAATAGAAGCGGTTTGACTCGACTGGACGTGCACCTCCTCCATTGATTTAAAAGTCATAGCTTATAAAGAATAATCCTCCGGCGTTTGGCGTCCTCCTGGATGAATCATGTCCCTTGCACATGCCAGATGTCCGCCCTTTTCTACCCCGCCCTTGTCCGCTTGACCAACTCAGCGACCCCTTTTGCGGCACTTCCGTCCCCTCTCCTACTACACTCTTGCCCTGGCAGCAGTTTCACTCGTTCGTGGTTCGTCTTTCCCCTCCCCTCTTTTCCTGATCGCTTCACCTTCCTTGCTGCCATCCCCCGATCCCAGTGTATACCGCTGCTGCTTGATGTCGCACCGCCGTTGCTGCTGGAGCTGTTGTGCCTGAAAAACAAACAAATATGTCTCCTCCTGTACGCCACATGCGCGGCCACCGCTGCTCTAGGGCTGTCATTCCTGATTGACGTTGCTGTTGTGCATGCATGTCGTTGCTGCTCCGAATCCCGCACAGGTGTGGTTTCGGTGCGGCCCGCACTGGGCCCCGGGGTGCGTCTGCCTGGCGTACCGGCCTCTCTTGCTGCAGCTGCGGCGGCGCTGCTGCCGCCTGGGGGAGCTACCCCGGCCCCGGGGGGACTGGGACTTGGGCCTGGGGGCAAGGTGCGTCGGATGGATGAAGAGGGGGGGGCTAGCTTGGTATGTTGTTGGCATTAGTGCATCAATGCGTTGCTCGGCTTTCCTCTGTGGCGAGGAGATTAGTTCACAGAAGGGGTGTAAATCGCGGCATGTTGGGGTGTGGTGTGGTGCCACTGGCAGTAGCGTAGCCCCACAACTATGAGCACAGACACTACTGCCACGCCAGGTGTAGGCGCTGGGGAACGAAGCGGACAGCAGTTTTGTCACAGTATGTTTCCCACCGCTTTTCCCTTGTACACGCAACGCACTGTGAGGCATTGTGCACTGCACCTGGGGCGTCATCACACCACCCACCCACCACCCACCCATCCGCCTATCCATGCACCCTCCCATGCACTCATCAGCCCATACAGCCATCGCTGCTCCCAAACGAACCCCAGGCTGCCGGCATCGCCAGCGTGCTGCCCTCGCCCTCCCTGGCTGCACCGGCTGCCAAGGAGGAGGAGGAGGACGACCGCTTCTATGACCCGCAGCTGGTCCGGGGCGCGGCGGCGCGCCGCGGCGAGCGCCGACGGCGGGCGGGGTTCGATTTCGTGCATGAGGGCCGCTTCCAGCGGGAGGCTGAGCTATTCAGGTGAGGGGGAGGAGCGGACAGCTCCAGCTCCGACAGTTCACTCCCCTGTCTTCCCTCTTTCCCCTCATACTTCAATCCCTATGGTGCCTTGAACGAACGGAGAGAAAAGGGATTTCCCTTAGCGCACGTGCGCTTCGTCTTCCCCACATCCCCCCCCCACACACACACACCGATGCGGCCGCATCTTGGAACACGTTTTCTTAGCGGGCTAGGACCGCCTCTGACACGCACCTGGTGCTCGTCTACTCCATGACGTATTCTTTCCCTTCCGTCACTTCTGCCGACACCCTATACATGCCGACACCCTATACATGCCTTCATCCATCGTGTAGATTCCCGCAGCAGTTCGTCATTCCCGCAGCAGTTAGTGTACATCGGTGCTTTGGACGCGTCCGCAGTTTTCCCTTTCTTTGACTTCATTTTATCGTACCATATTATCGTATTATGACAACCCTCCCACACGTCCGCAGGCTGAAATCCCATTTGGGTGCTGCGGGTTTCCGTAAGGGCGGCCCCCGGGTGAATGGACCGCTGCTGACGCACTACGGCGGTGCGGCGGCCGACCCCAACCGCGTACCGCTGGGTGCTGGGGCGGCCGCGTTGGACGCTAACTCTGTGCCGCTGGGGGTGCGGGACAAGGCCGCGGCGGCGGCGGCTGCACCCCGGGAGGCAACTCCGGCTCCGGAGGTGGGTCGGTGGGTAAGCGGCGTACGATGAGCCCCCAAGGGCACACGGCAGCGAGTGTGGGAAGCGCTTGGCGGCGTGTTGGGCTTTCGGAGGGTGTTTAGGGATGCGGTTGGATGGGTGGGCGTGTCATTATGCTTCGTCGTATCCCCACATGCGTATCCCCGTTCCCTGCCCCCCCCCGCAGGTATGACACATTTCCAACTCTTACTGCCTCCTACTCGTACCGGGCCCCTCCCGCGTATTTCCTTTCCCGTCTCACCTGACTTCACCTCCCCCCGCGCCTTCGCATCCCCCCCAGCAGAGGGTGCTTGGGAGGTTGTCGGCAGTTGGCTCTCTGCCCCCTCCCCCCGCGCATCATCATTGGATTCCTCGCTGCCCTCCCCCCCCACCAGTCTACCCTTCCCATCAGCTTCACTCGTTCGTGGTTCGTCTTCCCTCCGCTCCCTCCCCTTCCCGCGCACGATACACGTCCCACATACCATCCCCTTCTCCCCCTCCCCCCCCCACACACACATTCACACTCCCACCTACACACATGCACAGGCCGAGCCTGTCCCTGCAGTGGAGTGGTGGGACCGGGGGCTACTGGCCCACGCCTCCCTGGAGCAAGATGTTCCCGAGCTACCTGCGGAGGCTCACGCAGCTGTCCTGGAGGCCTTGTTCCTGCGGGGCCGTCGCAGTGGGGGGGACGGAGATGGGGATGGGGAGGGGGACGAGGACGATGAGGGGGAGGGGGAGGCTAGGGGTAAAGCCGGCCGGGAAAGGAGCTTGGATGCGGACATGGCGGATGTGGGAGGAGGTCAACAGGAGCATGAGGAAGAGGGGGAGGGCGGGGGGGGCCGCCAGCGGGGAGTGGAGCTGGCGGCGGCGGCGAGGGCGGCCGTTCAGAAGGCGGCTCTTGCGGCGGCGGCGGGGCAGCTTGGGCCGTTCCTGCTTAAGGAAGCCAGGGTGGGTGATTTGCTGGGTTGGAGCGGTAGGGGTAGGCGGTGGAGCGGAACGAGGAGGAGGAGGAGGGACAAAGCTGTGGTGTTAGATTCTTTGTAGTCCTGGCTCGCGTGCATCTGTTGAGCCGCGGCTGTGGTTGAATGGGTGAAGGTGCGTCGCGCAAAAGTGGGTGAGGGAGCGGAACCGGGGATGGTTCGAGGCCCAGTTTATGGAGGTGGGGGGAGTCTGTGGTTGCGTGTGTGCGCCGCAGTCAAAAGAGGGCCTTATGAATGGAAATCCCCTTACTCAGGTTCATCAACAGGTATCCATCCTTGTTCCCAACCCTGCGCGTCTTCTCCTTGCCTTTTCTATATAATAGACTCTTCTACAGCTTCAACCTTTGAACGTTGAAAGGCCACAGGTCCATTACAAAATCTCTTCATTTCTTATTCCCGCTATCTCCTCGCTGCAGATCACTATCTACGTGGAGCATCCCGTGCCGCTGGAGCCGCCCGCCGAGGCGCCCCCTCCTCCCCCCCAGCCCCTGAAGCTCACCCAGAAGGAGCTCAAGAAGCTGCGCACTCAGCGGCGATTGGCGCGAGACAAGGAGAAGCAGGAGCTCATTCGGCAGGGTGGGTGGCGTTTGGCCGGCTGCCTGTCAGCCGTGTTGGGGTGGCAGATAGGAGGGATGACTGGGCTGTGTCTGCCTGGTAGGCTGGCGGGGTGTTGGGTATGTGCTGCATGAAGGTGCGGACTTGGAGGAAACGGGAAAGGCGGCGAAGGGGTGGCTGGACGTGCGGGTAACAGTCATATGTGGTTGGAGCGATGCTGCGCGCAGGGCCACTGCTTTCTCCGCTCGGCGAAACAAAATCGATCACCCCTTGTTTGGGGGATGTCTTTGTTCGGCGACCACATCCCCGAACTGCACGCTACCAACATGCACTCTGCAACATCCTCCTCCTGAACTCGCCTAAACTCCCGCCCTGGGCCCCCATCTACTCTTTTCCCCCTCTCCAGTCCTGCTTCTTGTACACTCTTTTCTTGGCAGGAGCTTCACTCGTCCGTGGCTCGTCTTTCCCCCCCCCCCCACACACACACACAACCTCCTCTCTGCGGCAACTCCCAACCTCCTCATCTCACCGCTGCAACCTGCAATCTGCTGCCCAGGTCTGTTGGAGCCGCCCAAGCCCAAGGTCCGCATCGCCAACCTGCACCGAGTGCTGGGCACGGATGCGGCTCTGGACCCCACGGCGGTGGAGAAGGAGGTTCGCAAGCAGATGGCGGAACGACAGGTAAGGGGGGGCCCCATGTCAAGTCGGGAATTACATGATGATGATGCAAGGATAAACAGGAAACAAGTGCCGAGGAGTGTGCTTGGCAAAGTGGCAAAGAGGAAGAGGGGGAGAGGAAGGGGCGTAGGGAGGGAGGAAGGGTGCTTTGCGCGGGAAGCTGGGACGAGCAAGGAAGTGAAGTTGCCACTTGCCTGTGTGGTCATTGACGCGATGACTACAATAAGTCCTTTGCGAGCTTTGTGTGGAAAGTTGAGAGAGGAGCCTGTAGCACCGAGGGCCTTATCCGTGCCTGCCTTTCTTAGGCTTGGACTGAAACATGGCCCTTGTCCCTGTTACTTCTTTTCCCCCCCCCCCAAACTTACCACTACCCGTCAGGCTGCACACGACGACCGCAATCTGGCAAGGAAGCTGACACCAGCAGAGCGCAGGGAGAAGAAGCTGCGCAAGCTCTTTGGTGCGGCGGCGGTGGAGACGGGTGTTACGGATGTAGGCGCGCGCGGCACGGGCGCGAAGCGCGGCGCTGCGGCAGCGGCAGCTGCCGCTGCCGCTGCGGCGACGGGCGTGGACGTGATCTGCAGCGTGTATCGAGTGGGCCGGTTAACAGACCCACAGCATCGTTTCAAGGTGGACGCCAATGCACGGGAGAATCACATGACAGGTGGGTGTTGGGGCGGGAGGGGGCTAGGTGCTGTTGGACCCTAAGAGGCAAGCAAAAGCTAGGGGCTGGCTGACTCGAGGCTGTGGCGGAGGCGAGGAAGGAATCGCATCCGGAAGGTTGCTTTTCACGACGTCGCGGTTCAGTCTGCGCTGGCTGGAACAGAGTGACCGGAGGATTTTGAAAATGCCTTACCCTGCTGTGCCTTGCTTAGACCGCGCATCCCCGGCCGCGTTTTGGAGATGGTTGAAAAGCACCGTTTGCTTCAGGTTGTTGACGGCCCAAGGCATGTGGCAGAATCATGAGATCCTCTTTGAGAAAATCCTTCTCTTTGGTCCTCTCAGGCATCATGGTCGTCAGCGACGAATTTTGTGTGGTGGTGGTGGAGGGCGTCGAGAAGGCCACACGCAGGTGCGGATGTGGGGACTGGGAGGAGATGGGGAACGGAGCGGTATATGCGGTGGTGGCCCCCGAGGGCGGCCAGGGGGGCCAGTGCTTCTAGCATCGACCTCTGCCAATCCTATAAAGAACCCAAGGGGGGGGAGTTCGATCCTACGTTGCTGTAACCCGCTTGCGGAGATCTTTGACCGCTTTGAGAACTGGTTGCAAAGGATTGCGGAAACGAGGTTAGTTTCACCCGGTTGAGGGCTGCTCAGGGCACTAAGGGTCTAAGACTAGGGAACCCAAGGCTGGGTGGGGTTGTTGCGATCCATCACTAATTCAAGCGATAGTCGCGAACGGCCTGCCGGAGGACTGCTTAGGGTTGGGGACCAAAATGGAACGTGTTACCGTTCAGCCAGCATAAGTTGCTAATAGCATGGCTTGTAGAGCTGGATGAGGCGATGAGGGCAGTGGGTCTACGTCGGTCGTGTGGTCTTTGTGCTGTTGCCTGCTGGCGGGGCAGGTACACGAAATTGATGATGAGACGCATCGATTGGTCGACGGCGCCGGCGGCGGGCCGACCCGCGGGCCGCGACCCCAACGGTGACGCCGCCATGGACGACGCTGACGAGGACGAGGAGGACCGGCCACCGCCCAACGTCTGCACTCTGGTGCGTAAGGGCCACAGTGTGGCACTCGCAATGCCCAGGGGGGTCAGGCCATAACGGAGCGCCCGCCTGCTTGGAGCGTCCATGTCCTTGCTTAAATCCCCCGAACCCGACTTCATGTCATAAACGTGATTATGACGAGCAAAATTCTGCGCTGCTTGCCGCTGCCTTTATGTTTGTTTGCTGCGGCCCCTGCCAGGTGTGGCAAGGCACTGTGCTACGCCGTGCATTCAACGGCTTCCGTTCCGAGACTGTCCGCTCCGCCGCGGCCGCACGACAGCTGCTCGAGGATGCGGGCGTGGTGCACTATTGGGATGCCGCAGCGGGCGCTGCAGAAGGGGAATCAGTGCCGTACACCATTTAGGGCGTTTGGCATTGATATGTCCGGGGTGATGCCTGGGTGTGTGGTGGCAATCAAGACAGGAAGCAGGACTGTTATGATATCTGCGGAGCCGCTGTTTTCTGCCCTGTTATCGAACTGCGGACTAAAGTCCGCCGACTCCCGGACAGACGATGCCGAGTGGAGGCAGGGTAAGGGCGGTGCGGAAGTCTCAAGGAGGTGTCCACAAGGGCCTGATTTGAGAGGTGTGCACGGCATCTTGTTGTGTAGCAGCAGCAGGACACGTGCAAAGCCAGGTTTGACCGGAGCGGTATTGCCCCGTTTTGTACGTAACATCATCACGACATCAAGTTGCAAGCGCTGTTGCCTTTTCTTCAATGGTTACCTATTTCTTGTTGCTTCCTTTCTTCTGAGGTCCGTTGCAACGGACCCTTATCTTGCACGGTTTCAAGGGGAAATAGCGTTTACTGTGACTGGAAGTTGGCTGCCAGCCCTTGTAGTGCTTGAAACTCATAGCAGATCTATCCGGATCGCAGAGGCAAGCTGCGCTGTCAGCTACACATGTGGCCAATGGAAGAAAGAAGTCGGCATGAATAGTCTGGGGATACCTGCCGGAATGGAAGGACCTCCTGACGTCAATATGGGAATTCGCATAGTTGGGCAAATTACACCGTGCCGCCTGTGTCACATTCCTCATGCGTTGGGGCGCCGCGCTGCAACCAGGACGCCATCGCCTTGCAGACAGGGCTCGGGAGAACATGCTTCTTGTCCAAGAAATGATGCCCGCCGGCTACCCCTCTGTGCTAACTGTCAAAAATGCCAAGTTACTGCGAACATACCCCCCCATCATACCATCAGCTCTGGAACACAGTGCTAAAGATAAATGCCTAAAAGCTTGTCGTTGGCCTTGGGATTTGCCATGAAGTCGTACGGCGACTGCTGGGAAATTACTGCCCGGCAGTCACGATCCCAGAGCGACTCACCTGGTTTCCGCCTGTACCAATCCTTGTTGTACACAGACCCCGTGCCGCTTCTCAATGGACGTGGCTGCTGCACGTGCACTCCTTACACTTCGGAAATCGCTAAGCTCTTTAAACGCCATCAATTGAGCAGAAGCGGCTGGATTGAGATAAATGCAGTTACAGTGCAAAAAGCGTTGCCCCCACACTGCCACGCCTGCCTGTCGGGGCCGTACACAGTCGCGCTGCTCATCCATGCTACATGCCCCTTGCAATAAGCCCCTTCCAGCTTCAGGCGCACATGCGGCCGCAAAATAAACAAGGGATTTGAAACTTACACAGCGATACCCAACCTGACTACCCGGCCTGGCATCCGGCCATTTACGGCCTGCCTTAGTTTCAACCCACCAACCAAAACATTTTTGCTCTGTCCCGCACAACAGCTTGGCACAAGCCCTGCTACAGCGACATTGTCGCGGAATGCATTGCCGTGTGACAGGTCCTGCACCGCTGCTGCCCCTATCGACGACCCGCTCACTGTCCTGCGTGGTTTCAAAAACCAGCCAAACATCACACCGACATAGCGGCAAGCCATCCGCACCAAACGCGGTGTCCCGGCCATTATGCGGCGGTGTCGAAGTTCTCCACAAGGTCCGGCACGTCTGCACAAAGAAAGGGACTGGGGTTCAGAGAACATATGAGTACCAGTTGTACGCCCAGAGCCCCAAATGGGAAGCCCATGCCCGAAGTCATGGCGCCCAAGCCAGCGAAAGAACGCAGGACATGTATAGTCGTGGCCACGAGACCCCAAAGCATGCCTACCGTCGTCGTCGCCACCAGCCGCGGCACCGCCAGCTGCCGGAGCCCCCATGCTGGCAAGGCCTCCAAGGCCTCCAAGGGCCCCAAGGCCGCCGGGAAGGCCACCCACAGCACCCAGCTGCAGTGGACAACCGTGCAAATCCCGCGTTAAAAAACCGCCGTACGATACACGTCATGCACCTGTAGTTCCCCCAATCGAAAGGTGGTGAAATACCTGCTGCATCATCTTCTTCAGATGCACCAGGCTGTCTGGCCCCATCTGGTTCAGAATTCCAGGCAGCAACTCTTGGATTTCTGTCGGCGACACGGATTCCGTTAAAACAATCCACATGTGCATCCACACAGCTTTGGAAAACAGTCTAGGGAGCTACTTACTCTTTTGCTGTGACGGACCGCTGATAACATAGGTATTGGCGGCAATGGAGGCTTGCACTGCATGCGTGAAACAAGGACGTGAGCTGTCACTTGCATTCGCGCGGGATAGCATGATTCATGTGATCGAATTTGGACATTACCCTTGGGGTTAACAAAGTGGATGACGGTGTCGTCCTTGAAGATGTTCACCTCCTCAATGCCCGGGATAGTGTTCACGCCCAGGCGCTTAAGGGTGTTTTGCAACCGCTTATCGTCAGTGGATGTCGTCTTGTGCACAGCCTTCTTCTTTCTGTTTGTTCAGAGTAATTACAGGCGTCAGCGCCTCCCAAGTAATAAAGCAAAGCGCGCCTCCAGCCGCCGCACCTCCTGACGGAGCCCTTGCCACCGGTGCGCACGGCACCGGCCATCTTCATAAGCTTGTCGCGATCCATTTTGCTGCGCGCAGTCGGATACGGCGGAAGCCTTAAGACAAGCAAAGTCCTAACCTACTGGGCCGCGAACTGGTAAGAAAACTCACGGCGGGGTAGCGGACCCCAGAAAGGTGTACTTGGGTCCGATATTGACCCGGGCGCAGGGAAAGAGAGAAAACTGTTGTCACGACATCACCAATGTCGACTCTTGAGTCCGCAGGGCCCAGCTGGACAACACCAACCTTTGCTTAATCTTTTTTCCAGTCATCATGGTTATCATAGAAATATGATATGCAACGAAATTTACATCGAGTTCAAGAAAACATATTGCAACTATTGTCTTCTCGACGTTGTCTTGCGTTGAGGACCTTACAAGGCAGTAAAAACGTCACATGGAGCTGCAAAATTATTCCCTTGTGCTGGGGGGACTGAGCGTTGTGCTGCCGGTCTTACGGGAGTTGGTTACGCTTACATGTATGCCTTGGCCTGGTATTCTTCTTTCAACCCCAATTATGCATGAAGTCCACACACCTCCACACACCGGGCATGAGATATCTCCAACGGGGTAAAGTCCTGGACGAGCCACGGCCCCGTTCACCTGCCATGGCTTTGTACTTGGGTCAGACGCCAGCCAAATCGTTTGCGTTTCAAGCTCTCCTTTGTGCTGTACCAATACTTGTCTCCAAACACATGTACCCCGCACTTTACGCACCAACCGCTTAGCAACCTGAATCCCTGGCGTGTCATTCAATGCACGCTCGCAATGCAGATGGGTATGCAGAATGAGTACATCGGGTAGCCAATACCGTGAGTATCGTTTTCAAAGTTTGCAAGAGGTCTTCGGAGCCTTCGTCCAAGGGAGTACTCCCACAACACAGCAAGTAGATAACTTGAAGCGCTCCCTTCCCGAGAAGGGTTATGAAATTCTAAGAGAATTGCTTGGGCATCATAGCAGCGTAGCAGCCCCTGCGCCTCCTAGTCAGCAGGCCCTCGACACAAATGTCACAGCCCTTGATGCTCGGACGTGCTCTGTCTGGAGCACTTCTCCCGACGGCTCGTCTAAATGGCCCAAGGTAAAACTGGATCAAGTGCCATACAGTTTTCTGCTGCCTTTCTTGCAGCTCCTTGTAATGGAACCCCTTTGATGCCGGCAGGCTCGCGAGAGCATTCGCCGCTGCAAGCCCTTCTGCGTCTGATGCTTCACCTGAACCTTCTGCACAGGTATTATTGATTTGAGGGATTATCTATGCCAAGCGCTAAAACTGTACTAACAGTTAGTCGAATTGCTTGTCCTGTCAAGTGTTTCCTTTTCCGTCTAAGAAAGCTTTTCCTACCTTATGTCACTTATTGACCCCACACCACCGTATTATAGCTTCCTCGGAGCTCCTGACCGGCGTCTGGGAACTCCCCTGTGTTGCACGTGCTTCCCTGCGACCATCTCAGGATGCGGCCACAGATTCCGGGACTTCGGCCCCTCCAAAGCTGCTGGTGTTTGGCGGCCGCGGCTTCGTCGGCAGCAACGTGTGCAAAGAGGCCGTGGGGACGGGTCTGAGCGTGTTGGGTGTCAGCCGGAGCGGTGAGCCAAGGATTGATTTTGGTCCTGGGAAAATTGTGGTCCAGCAACTGAACAGGGATAGATCCTGAACTGCTTGCACATCTGGACGCATCTGCAGCTGCACAATGGCTCCTCTGTTGAGCGCTGCTGCCTTCATGTCAAACATGAAGGCAGCAGCGTGGGCTGGACAGCGAGGGCTGGGCAACAAGTGCGGGGTCTCTCTTGTGCAGCAGCGCATGAGCTCGTCAGCTGGAAGCTTACGGAGGCGTATTCGTGTGCGGTTGATAACATGGTTACGGTACGGTACGGTACGGTTACAACCGTTAGCTGTCCATGACCGTCTCCTCAGCTTTCACGGAAGCCTCCGCATTTGTGCTGACCTAATAACGTGTAACTTGTTACTTTGGTATTGTTGTCACAACCGTGCGCATTTGAAAACATGGCTGCTTGACATGACAAGCAAGCTTCTGCAGCGCGCCGTCGTATCTCCATTTTCACAACCGGAGATCTATACTTTTGCTGTACTCTCTGCCAACATCGCCGCCAGGTACTCCACCGCTGGTCCGGGAGCCGTGGGTGGACGCCGTGGAGTGGGTGCGGGGCAATGCGTTGGAGCCGCAAACCTTCGCCCGCCATCTGGAAGGCGCAGATGCCGTTGTGTCGTGCATCGGTGGTTTCGGGACGAATGAGGAGATGCTCAAGGTGGGTTTTGAATGGTGGGTGAGTGGAATGGTTGGACGAAGATGTTGCAGTGGGGGTTTCGAATAGATGACCGGTTGGTGCTGCCCGCGTAATGATAACCCTAGCACTATATCGGTCACGTCAGAGCCTTGCTAAGCGGTATGAAGTAAGGTGAACCCCTTCGTATCACCGGTCCAGGCCCTTGTCAAGATGTGTCCGGATGAAGACTCTGTTATCTGTGTATGCACCACCACGGCTCTTTGGCCTGGACAGCACCAGGCAACCCCGGCAGCACCAGAAACACTACCCTGCCTGCTCAGTAGCACTTCCAAGGGGGTATGCCATAGGGGATGGAATGGATGGAATTTGGGTGGAAGCTCGTGACCGGTTCGAGAACAGGCTTGATGGCTTCATGCACTCGTGCAAAACATCCCGCATGCCATATGGATGTCTGCCACATTTTCTCCGATTACACTGCGGCAATTCATATGGGTCGTGCTGCTGCGCTATACACCTCGTTCCTCGCCTTTCCACACCTTGATCACCTCGCTTGTGCACCTGGCCGTGCGCTGGGGTGCGTCTGTGAACGCAGGTGAACGGCGCCGCCAACGTATCGCTGATTGAGGCGGCGCGGGCGGCGGGTGTCAAGCGCTTCGTCTTCATCTCTGCGCACATCCCCAACATTCCGCTTATCGGTAAGATGATTGGTGTCCGGAGCCCGGGATGCAGCACCGCTCATGCACCACACATACACCCTGGCAGCTTAAGATTAGCCTTAGCCTTTTTCCTTCGGATAGTAATAGTAAGACCCAAACATGAGCATTACATGGGAATGATTCGATAATGAAGGTGTCGGAAAGTTGAATATTGACCTCATAATTCTGTTAGTAGTTAGTGGTCACCATCATTGGAGATCCCCTGGCTGGCGGGACGTCGAGCACCGGTCACTGGCCAGAAGCTGCTGGGGGTCGCGGCCCCAGGGCTGCAGGAACGGGCTTGCCAGCCCTGACTGTTACAGTCCTTGGCAGCACCCCAAAAAAAGCACTTGCAACACTCTGGCCGTTTACTTTCTCTTTTATTTCTTGCACCCAATCCCTGTATGTCTCGCTGCGCTCCGCACGAACAGCCTTGTGGGTCCTGCATCCGCCTTGCCACTGCCACCACCGCCACTGACTTGGGGGCTGTCTCCGCCATCCCGCGCCACTGTATCCCCCCCCCCCAATACACACACACACACACAAGATGCCGTTCTTGGCGGCTACATCCGCGGTAAGCAGGCCGCTGAGGAGTCCCTTCGCATCCAATTTCCCAGCACCGGTGTGGTGCTACGGCCAGGAGTCATCTACGGCGACCGGGTGGTGTCGTCCAATCTGACGGTGCCGCTGGGCTTGGCCTTCCGGCCCTTGGAGATGATGATTGAGCGGCTGGGCGTTAAGCAAGCAAAGCAGCTGTCTGGGGTGCCGCTGGTGGGGGCTGCCTTTGTGCCGCCCGTCAACGTGGAGACGGTGGCACGGGTGGCTGTGAGGGCAGCAACTGACCCGTCAGTGCCGCCCGGCGTAATTGACGTGTGGGAGCTGGCGGGTAAGGAGTAGGGCCGGAGAGTGAGCGCAGTGTGGTAGTGGTGGTGCTGGTGGGCTGTGGGAGCGAGGCAGGGGGGGCTTTGCGTGGCTTATGTGGGTGGGCGAGGGATTGAAGTCGTGAGGGCACCGGGAGGAGTCCGTTGACATGAGCCCACGTAGTGGCAGGGTGGTAGTGACAGGTTGGTTGGGTGGTAGTGGCAGGGGTGGTAGTGACAGGTTGGTTGGGTGGTAGTCGCAGGGGTGGTAGGGGTAGGAGTAGGGATAGGGGTAGGAGGAACCGCGTAAGAGGGATTAGCTTGATTAGCCTTAAGGAATAGGACGCCGTAGTCGTGATAGTGGGCGATTGAGGGCAGTTAATGGCGACGATGTGGTGTAAGGTTGTGTACACGTGTATAGCCGTTCAGTGTGTCGGTGTTGCGTCTTGGTGGTGTGAGATTGCCTTGGGCGACGCGGCTTAGAGAGCGCCTTATTTAGAGTCATCCATTGAGACAGCTGTGGCTGATAGCTGTGGCTTTGCTGTCCTACTACCATGGTAGGTAGGAGGGTGTTTTGGGGTATGATAAACAGCCTGGCAGGGGAGGGTTGGCGGGTTACGGCCCTATGTGACCCGTGTGGGAGGAAAAGGAGGGCCTGGTAGGAAGTGGCCTGGCCTAAGGAAGGGACGTGTGTGGAGTGAAGACTGCCGACTGGAACCGGATGTAATGGACCCTCTGTGTTCGTATGTACGGCATTGGTGGTTTCTAGTTCGTCGTGGTGCGAGTACAGGGTGGCTGGGAGTCCGCGTTAGCTATCCGCTGATAGGTCTGGGGCAGCGGACAGTCTGAAACATCTGCAAGGAAGAGAACATGACTTCTGCGTGAGATATATACGTCATGTACCGTGCGCCTGTACGGTAATCGTACCCAGTCATCACGCCATAAAGCAAGTACTTTAGGTTGCTTAGACGCAATTCGTGCCAATCTGCGGATCCAAACTCTTGTCTATGTCGAGTAGCTCAAATGCTCCTTAATCTGCGGCGGCGGTGATGCCGCTCATCTTGCCTTGGCGCTCTGAAGACTGGCCTGGAATGCATCCTATTAGACGGGGAGGCTGTGTGACCCAAATGATCCCGATGTGCCTTCTCAGCGCTGGACGTTCGGACCATGTAGCAGTGGTGGTTCGGACTACAGCAGTAATGAAGAGGAGCTATGCGTACGTAAATGGATGATGCGCCTAGGCTTTCCTCCTCCTGCCCTCGAGCATGTAGTCAGGGAACCGGTACAGTTCACAGCGGTCCACAGCGGCCCTCAGCTCTATAAGATAACTACGTCATGGTGGGCGCTGCTTTCGCGTTAAGGATAAGGCCCGCAGGATGATACTTACCTCGCATAATTCCCTCCCCCTGTCCCCCTTCAAAGGCAGTTTGCAGCCGCTAGGATCGATTCCGCCTGCTAGATGATCCATGGCATCTATATGCGTTGGATTAGCTTTTCCTGGCGGAATGCAAACGGGTCTGGCAGGGGCTGGCATTTCCTGGTTGACGGGTGGTTGACCGGTACTTTGCAAGGCAGGGGTGGCCATCTCCATTACGGTATTGGTTCGGCGTATTGATCTAAACGCTGTGCTCGTGAATCTCCTCTGTGAATGTCTCTCATTATGCGGAGCACGGCCTGCAAGCATACAACTGACTTGGGGCGCCCCATAGCGCAACCCCCAAATATCGCTAGCATAAAAAATATATCGGCAGATACTACAAGTAAACATATTCACAAAGCGATCGGGCTGATCGGTGGACAAAGCTGCGCAAGAATTCATGCCTTGTGTGTTTGCGTGTGCGGCAAGCCTGACCTAGAGCTTGTAGCAGTCATACCGGCTGCAAAATACGTGGAGCGCAAGCGGTCCAAGTCAGATCTCAATACATGCCGCGTCGCCGCGAGGGGGATCCAAGCTCAAATAGACTGCAGAAACGGACGCGTATCGCAACTGATTGCTGTGTAGAAAATGCAGCGTGTAACATTTCCTTATGAAACAACCCCATGCAAGTCCTCAACCCTCAAATGGAGGCAGTGTACGACGAGTTGAAGATGGTTGCTCGTCAACCAAGATCATGTCGAGAAACGATTTGGGCGCACACTAGTATTCGAGTTTCTCACAGGCAAAATGATGAAGAACGTAGCGATGGACGCCAAGCTGCGTGGGGCGCAACCCTTCCGCTCGAGCGCTGCTGCCTCAGTGGTTCCGCGTTGCCGGGTAGCAGCCAAAGCAATCTCCACTTCATCTCAGAAACAGCATCACGATGAAGCCTTAACCGCTCAGCTTGCCCGTCGGGAGCTTCTGCTGTCTGTCGCAGGGCTAGGCCTGGCGACGTGCATGCCTTCGTCGCCTGTGCATGCCGGAGAAGGTGAGTATGCAGCGTGGCTTCAATAATGTCGTATTTTATGATAATACTGAATCCTAGCATTAAAGATTGAATCGCGCGTACCCAACCCGCGGATAGAACTCCGTTTGGCATCTCCGCGCATATCTCCGCGTATTCCACAAGTGTCGCTGTCAGCCAAAGCTCCAGGCGGGACCTAAGAGTTGCGATAAAGCAGCCGTTCCGGCCGGTGTCGAACGGTTTCCTAATACCGGTGTGCTTTAATCCCCTCGTAACCTGCAACAACTCTCCTCGACGCCACCCATTTGGCGGCTCTGGGGGCTGGGGAATGTAGGTTGCGTGGGACGAACATCCATCAATACTAAGGCCTTGCACGAAATAACTGATTCTTGACAAGGTGAAGCAGGATCCCGCGGATTCTCGAGCGCTAGCACGGCTTCCTGCAACAACCCCACGAGACAGAGGGGACCAGGGGACGATGAGACGATTCATCCCCATGTCCCCACCTCCCACCGCACCCCACCCGCATCTTGGCGGCGGTAACCGCGCCCGCGTGGACATGTGGCCCGATGATGTTCCGCACGTTGCGACTGCAGCAGTAGCAGCAGCAACAGCAATTCTGGACCGACCACCCCGGCTCCTCGGCAGCAGCTGCGGACTGGCCGCCTCCCCCTGACGCCCACCCCTCTTTTGATTGTGACCGCCCTCCCCTTTCCCCCCTTTACCGCCCTTTATCGCCCTTCACCGCCGCAGAGTTCACCACCTTCCTGGGCTATGCCACCCCGCCCACCAGCTACGGCGGCTACGGCGGTAACGCCAAGGAGACCCCCAGGTACACCTTCGAGTATCCCACAGGCTGGAAGGAGGAGGTGCCCAACAAGGTGTGCTCGTACAAATCCAGATCCAGATTTCCAATTTCTTTATTAAGTTTCAACCTAGGGAAGGGGAGGATGTTTTGGGGGCCCGTGTTGAGGTTCAAGGGCTGGTTTCGGAGCTGGATGGCTTAGGGACCATAGAAGCGATGGCTGGCGGAGAATTGTCGCGGCGTTGGCTTCTCTTCGCCATTTGCCCTCACTGTTCCCCACGTCTGTCTTTTGCCATTGCTGCTGGTTTCAACTCCTCTTCTCCTCCTCCTCTTCCTCCTCTTCCCCTCCTCCTCCTTTTCCTCCTCTTCCCCTCCTCCTCCTTTTCCCCTCCTCTTCTGCTTTTCCGCGGCCCCCAATCCACCCTACGCTCTCACCCGCTCGCACATACGCCCCCCGCAGGTGGAGAAGGGCACTCAGGGTATTGATGGCCGCGTGGTGAACCCCCGCATGCGAGGTGAGATGGGGGATTACACCAACGACGAGGTGGCGGATTACGAAGTGGAAGAACGGAAAAAACCAACGTTTTCATACCGTCGTACATGCCCTAGCTATGGGCGGGAGACCCGTCCCAGGGAGTCGAAAGGAAGGGGAATGTACGGCACAAAACCCTGACTCGTCCACGCAGATTGCTTTCCCTGTAGAATTCAAGCCCTCACCCTCCTCCCGCCGTCCCCTACATTTGCCCAGCTATCATCCCCACCTAACCCTGCTATCTACTCGACCTACCCACCATACGCCCGACTAACCACCCCACCTGTTTGCCGTACGGTGTTGCAGACCAGCGAGCCTTCGTGATTACGTTGGCTCGCGCGGGTGAGGACAACAAGTCCTTCCGGCTGACCGACCTGGACTCCACCCTCAGCGGCTTTGCGGGGGCCGACTACGACCTTCAGGTGGGCAGCGAGCATGGCGACCACCAGGGGCCTCCGCCGGGAGGGTGAGGGGTGGAGTACGGCGTGGTGGCTAGTACGGCAGCATGAAGTAGGGAATCGAAGCGGTGAAAACGATTGCGAGAGGAGAAGTGTACGATTGCCGGTTTGTGTGAGGAGCCGCGTGACGTCACGTGACGTGGCGTGGCGTGTGATAGCGAAAGGTCGCACCTGGGTAACAACCTTGAGGGCTGCAGATGCATTCAACACTTTGTACGGCAGTAGCACCGATGGGGAAAAAGAGCCTTTAAGGCGCTTGATGTGGTGTGATGTCATGTCATGTGATGAGCGGATTACCTGGGATCTACTGCGGCCCTGGCCTGACAGAGGTGTTTACTTGTAGCGGTACGGAACCAGACAGACAGGCAGACAGACAGACAGGCCGTGGCCCTCGAATGAGGAAGACAAGGCTCAGATCTGTTTTGAGCTCTAAATCCGGGGATGGTTTGAGGTGTGAGTCCCATCAGGACACATCAGTGCCTGGGGAAGAAAGCGGGCCATGGCTGATTCTGTGGAGCTCCACACTCCTCGAGGGTGTTCGGGTATGGTGCGCTTGGGGGAGGTGCCCAAGCGTGTGGGTGTGGGTGCTTTTCCTCGCGTGGGTTGTCATACACTACGTTGAGGTAGTTGAGGTGCAGGCGATTTGGACAGGCATGGCGATGGCAAAGGAGTGTGCGTGTGCGACATCTGCCTCCCCCCCTGCATGGCGACCAACCTCAGGACGCCCTGTCGAGTGCGACCAACCGGACGACATCTTCTCGCGAGGTGGACGACAAGACCTTCTACGATTACGACATTGAGTCGCCGGTACGACACATTGTGTGCCTTGGCACGGTTTGTACACTGCCACGTGGTCGTTGCCTCTCTTTGCCACTGCCGTACAGGAGCCGCATCCTGCATTCCAAACGGTCAAAAAAACGTCCACCGCCACCAGCTGCCCTCCTTTTTGAGTAGAGTAGGGTGGTCCACTCCCCATTCCCGCACGCCAACCTATCGATGAACACATCTGACACGGCCGTCCACCCGCCGTGCTTCCTGCTAAATCCATTCCATTAACCCATCAGTCGCGGTTTGGTTGGTTTGGTTCGATCCAGCAGTTCCCTAAAAGTCTCCTGACGCATTTTCTCGCCTCTTTCCCCGGCCCCCCTCCCTTCCCCTTCCCTTCCCCCGGTAGGAGTACCACTACCTGGTTACTATCACAGTGTCACAAGGCAAGGTTTTCGGAGTCTTCGTGCGCAGTCCGACCAAGGTGCGTCCGAATGAGGTTTGGGGGGTGGATGGGTGGATGGGTGGATGGGAGGGAGGGAGGGAGGGAGGGAGAGGAAGAGGGAGAGCCTTTACGAGATGGAGGAGGAGGGCTACCTGGCAGGGCAGAGGGCGGGCGTTGGCTTTCCCGTCGGGGTTAAAGACGCAGCTTCATGTCCACGGTCCTAAGTGCATCCGTCATTGTGCACCACATGCCCCTGGAGCCCCCGGCTGTAGCGGCCGTGACATAGTGGGGGTTTCCGAGCTCTGGATCTAACACCCTCTCTCTCCGCCCGCCGCCTGCTGCTGCCGTCCCCCTCCCTCCTCCCCACCTTATCTGCGCGCCAGAGCTTCACCGCCAACGAGTCCAAGCTGCGGCACATCGTGGGCACCTTCCGGTTGCTGTAAGGGACCCTGCAGGCGCACGGTTGCGGCCGCGGCGGCGGCTGCTGCTGCGCCCGCGGCCCACCTTCGATCTCTCGCGACTGCCGCGCCATAGCCAGCGACAGCGGCGGCAACAACAATCGGTTGGGAAGCGATTTCTTTTTGGTTTCGGGACATGCGCTTGCACCGTGCGCGCCCTTGCTTTTGAATTTTCCGTGAGCTACCGGGTCCCAGCACTGAAGGTTTTTATGTTCTGGCGCCTTTTGGGGGCCCGCAGCGTCGCGGCGGCGGCGGCGACGACGATGATGATGATGATAGCGCAGGGGTTTTGGAGCCCTACGGTTTTCCATGTCCCCGGGCAGGGGAACCCAGACAAGGGTGAACTAAGCGGTTGTGGCGGTTCGTTGTCTTCCGGCCTGCTGTCCACGCCCAGTGAGGTGGGGGAAAAGTGTGTCTGGGGCACATCTTCAATGAAAGTTAATGAATCGTGAAGTACTTCCTGCTTGATGAATTCGAGCTTCCTGCTTGTACTAAGGCGCTCGCATTACGCCGTCTTTGTGCATCGCCTCGCCATTATGGGGAGTATGCGTGAAGGCCACATAAACATCCCTTCCTGGTAGCTATATCAGGCAACATCGAGAGATAGGGCCTGAATTGCCAGTCCGTCTAGAGGTGAGGAAGAACGGTATGGCAGCGGGATAACCATCCAGGTTCTCGTTTGTGCATCCGCTTGCCAGAACGACAGAAGTAATTGGATCACTACAGCTTTGGGAATCGTTTGTGTGAATCGAATTTCAGAAAACGTTTGAAGGGCAAGCGCGAAGTGCCACAAGGAAAATCAATTAATATTAAAAATCGGTCGTTGAGATTCATGGGGCTTAGAAATGCTGCCGCATCGCCAAACTAAAACCCAAGCATGCAGCCAAGAATTAATGACTCTAAATTCAACGTTCACGACGCATAAAGTCCTGTTTTTGTCACATCCTATACAGCATCTCATTTAGAACTCCAACGCGAACCCATGCGACAGCAACACTTATTAGTGATGATACGCTTGGCGCGCTTCACGGACAGGAAACGGGGCCCGACACGCCCTGCTCCGCCAAGGCTTCAGACTGACGAGCCTGGGCGTAACTATATAAAGCCGTGTAAATCTTACGTAGCCGCGTCTGCAACCGGCGCGTCAGTACAACTAAACCAGCAGTCGCTGCAGCCGCAGCCCGCAGGAATCTCTTCGCAACGTTTTATCAAGGACAACTTAAGGACGCATTATGCCATTGGGAAGGCGCGACAGGGAGACCAAAGCCCGAGCTGCCGCTTGTCACCTTAACATAAACGTATAGGCGAAATGGGCAGGCGTGGGGATTGGCAGAGCGTTGCTCCCCGCGCCCTTGACCCTCCATCAACATTTTTGCCCTGCTGGGGCCTCAGTCTTACCGCCGGGTATTCCTGGCTTGCATCCTGCGGCAACGAGTTTGTATAACTGACTTATAAGTTGTCGCCAGCACCGTCCTGGTCAGATGTATCTGTACCAACAACGACAACAGCAGCAATTATCAGCAACTACCTGCTCTGCTCTTAGTATGGCGGCAACTAATACTTCCCATATGCCACATGAGTCCCCTTGCTATCAGCTCTATTCACACTTTGCTGCGAGAAACTGCGCAGTCAAACAAGCGCTTCACACACACACACACAATCACTCTCTTCTTGGACTCAAGGATTAATGGAAAATGCGACACAAAATAGATTCGACTGACAAAACATGATGAGTTGCTGCTCATGCATCAACGAACATGGCGAATCAGATCTGACACTGTGAGAGGAGTACTGCGGGGGGAAATGCGAGGCAGTGAAGCTGCTGGGAAGGCGATATCTGGTGAGCCCGCCACCCCTGCTCCAGCCGTCGCTGCTGCCACCGAAGAGCAGCAAGGCCGCGCGCTGGCAAAGCGAAGTGGCGACTTAGCTTCATTCCTAACGAGCTTTTAAGAAGGCGCTTCGAATATGTGGGGTAATAAGCAAGGTCAGCCTTCGAGTCAGCGGAGCAGTTACCTCTGCTGCCTTTAAGTTGTGCTAGTATTGCTATCAACGCTTGATCCATTAATCGCTTGAGACCGTGCACAAGAATCCAAGCTCTCAAATCGCTACGGTCCTAATGACGACGCGTTCGGTCGCGGTTGAACTCTGCAAAGCCGGGGCACTGGTCCCAGGGCTCGCTGTCGAAGCCCGCCACCCAGGCGCCCTCAGCGCTCATGTCCGTCAGCATGCGGAAGAAGCCTTGCATCACGTGCTGATTGTAAAACTCCGCCAGTTGTTGCCCTACATCTTTGGATAGCTTCACGCCCGACAACGGCGGTACTCCTGCCTTGCGCCAGACCAACCCGCTGGCCGCTATCTCACGCTCCTCCTTAAGCATCGGCCTGCCGTACAGGTAACGGATGACCTGCAAGAGGCGTAGTAAGACGTGAAGGCACTGATGTCGTACTGGACATATTATTAATATCGCCGCAATAAGCTGCAACTGCTGTCCATCATGCGGATGCCACCCACGTGCGCCTTACCATCGTATGCCACTCCAATTCTTTGACATCAAATGGAATACAAAAACGAATTCCAAGACGCAGAGAAAAAATAAATACATGCGAAATTCCTCTGATCAGGTAAAGCCCACAACCAGGCCCCTGGTCGGCGACCCTCCGGCCCCCATCCATCGGTACCTCTACCCCCCCTGCCAGCCCCCCTGGTGGTCTCCGGTCTACTTAATCCGCTCCCCACTGGCGTCCGCGTCCCCTCTTCCCCCAAAAGTACCTTCTCCATCACAGGGTAACGTCGTTCATAGTAGGCCTGAGAGTCGATCAGCATCACCCTCCCGGGCTGGAAGTAGACACGCCGCCACATGGCCATCATGTAACGGTACAGACCACCCATGAACAGTCGGTGCTCCATGGGCTGCATTAGGGGTTGCGTGGAAATGTCCCGCCAGTTATCTGCCTGACACGCCACATCTGCCGGAGGACAATTTAGGGCGCGCTGCAGCGTGGCGAGCGCTTCGCGATCGCCCTGGACGGCCTCGAGGAAACCTCTGGCGAGGACGTCGATGCCCTTGTCTAGCCACTTGCCCTGTGCGTTAGACAGGCCCCATGCAGTCCGGTTGGCGAGTGGCAAGGGAAGGTCGAAGGAGTGATAAAGAGCGGGGGCACACGTGCGAGAGGCAGCCCCCGGGTACAGCCACTGTGTGAGGCGAGGCGAGGGATTTGCATGCGGCAAACCAGTTGTTTCTACATACGTTGTTACCGCCCCAGAACTGCAATCAAATAAAAATTCTTAGTGCCGAAGTTATTCAGGGTATGACTATCAACTTTACAATGTAATAAATACAATAAAAGCTCTGGATAAGCACACTGTCGGCAAACATGTGGCGCCACGGGTGGTGACCTGCCACACCCGGTACGGCCCTCCGTCCGCGAGACCACACCTAGTCCGGCTGCTTCCCCAGGGCCTGGTCAACCCGCGCCGAGCCCCCGACCTGCGTCAGCTTGTAGTGGCGGTACAGCACCTCAGCGCGCTCCACCGGCTCTCGAATCATCATCACAATCTTCGACAAGGGACTCAGCTGCTTCAGATAGAACGGGGCCAAAAAGTCGTAGGAATAATCGGGTGAGGCATCGAGCGTGAGCTCCGAACTGCCCCGGGAGGCCAGGCATTCATTGAACTCGTCAGGGCCGACTCTGCTGCAGGGGTGGTTCAGCAGCTGAAGGTACTCGAAGTAAAGGGGCTGCATTGGCACCAGCTTGCCTTCAATGCCGCCCCGATTGAGCATCGAGGGCTCCTTAATGGCATTGAGCGGAAATGGCGGGTCGGGCCGTCCTGGCGCGTTGTTGACATCCTCATCGGTGAGCTGCTTGTAGAGGTCCGTCTACTCCGGGAAAGAGCGAAGCAAGCATTAAGGAAAGGCAAATAGCGAAAATAGGTATTTAATAAAGGATTTAACTAACAGTGCTGCAATCCAATGGACTTAAGGAAGAGCTGAGTGGAAACCTTTCTCGACGTGCGTACTAGCAACAACAACAGTCGACGAAATGTTGCGTACCGTGCCACCTTTAGCCGTTCCAATGATAAGAACACTTGGAACAGCGTCCAACTGGTTTGGCATGAACACCTCCTGTGCCGAGGCTGGTGCAAACGCTACGGCCGCTGCAAGGAAAATTGCAAGGAATGCTTTGCGACATCGATTTACACACTTAGCCATTTTACTGGTCTCGCCTTTCGCTGGTGTGCTAGAAAGATCAATGATTTGAATTAATTTTTTGAGCTTCAGATAGGTACTTCAATGCATGTTTTTATTCGTCGCCCTCTACTAACAAGTTCGCATCGTTAACCAGTGCTGTCTTTTTTGGTGACAGATGGAGGCTTAAGCTATGGTGGGCGGGGTTAGGGTCCTCCTTAAGTGACGTACCTTGGACGAGAAGGTGGCATCGTGGCTTCAATATCTTTCCCTGTAGTTTTGGAGCGAGCCGAATGAGAACTTCATTAGGAAGGCTATTCCAAGAAGATCGCATATAAGTGCATGTGATTCCAAGCTCAATAGAGAAAGCCCCAACTGCGTAAAGGGCTCGCACTGTATTACCGCATGCCAGGTTGGGGGTAAGTGATTTAACGACTTCTTTTGCCTACCACTGCTTTAATCTTTGCATGGAGGCAACCGGAAGGATGGAGACTTAAAGCATTTCAAGTCATTTTAGAAGTACGAAGTTCCCAACGACGAGAACTGATGGGAAGCCATCACGTTTACCATAACTCGCTTAGATAACCATGGAATGCATGATTGCCTTCATGAACGCCAATAACCTGGGCAATCCGTACCGCCTTGCAGGGTAAGAAGATATTTCCCGAGCTGCAGACGTTGACTCTTTTATATAAAGCTTTTTGATTTGCATTAGCCATAATGGACCTCATCCCAAGTTATGTTTATGTTTGCGAATAATAGCAGTTTCAGTTCAAATGTCTGTGAGGTCAGGCTTGACGTTAATAATGGTATAGGCGTAGTTATTAAATTTTAGGATGCATCTTGCAAGCAAAAATGTGAGGTTTGTGCCTGGCTCGCTTTATCGCTGATCAGGAAAGGCAGGGCTTCTGCAGACATTTAACAGACTGGTAAAAGGGTCCCGGAACAGCAGAGTTAAGAAAAGTTGGATTAAGAGAATACAAAGGGGCCAGCAGAAACAAATTTAAGTCGTAATAAGAGTTACTGCTCCAACAGAGATTGCCATTGAAATTTCTGTTACAGGAATACTGTGCTATGGAGGCCAAAGCCAAAAGCGAAAGGCCTTGCGAACAACAAGGTCAAGATGATAATGCGGCCCTAAGGACACGGGCCGCGGCGAAGCAACCGTATGGTTGCACCGCGCAGAAGCCTTACGCCAACTGACCCGGCTTCCGCAACATAAGCCGCATTTAGGATTGGTGTGCGCGCGCCGTCGGTCAGATCCTGTTGCGCGCGCAGGAGTGAGCGCCAGCGGTGAGCACGCATGCGACAGTTCTCGCTCCTTACAACGACTTTGACGAAGGAATGAAGGTGACGTGAAACTACAAAGCTCGGTTGCGTATCCAAAATTGTCAGCTTTAGGGAAGGGCGGACTTCAAGAATGCCGAATCGCCGCTTCGTCGGGTTCGTCCAAAACCGATTGATTATTACAAGCAAGTAATTGATTCCAGAGCTGCGCCCTTTCGTCGATCATCGCCCGCAGATCTTTTTCTCTACCGTGCGTTTGCGCTTGGAGGTCCTAGCGGTGCGTTCCTTCGCCTGTACAGTGGGTCGCCGCCCAGCGTCTCAATGGACTTTGTGACCGGATCGCCCTCAACCGGAACTGATTACAACCCCCTTGTTGACTATTTGACTAGTACAGTGCATATACGATACTGCAAGAAATACATGCATGCAGAAGAAACCGCACACCTATTCGTCTGATGCAGTGGTGCGGCTTTACGGATTGCCAGATACGAGCACCGCAGATGGCGATATCAAGTTCACTGGGGCTTTCTAGGCCTCGCTCATGAAGCGGCTAAAGGTGAAGCAAGAAGCTGGTGGTCAGACAGAACGAGAGGCCCCGCAAGAGCGACGTGATGCTAATGCGATCGAGTGGCTAATGAATAGGCCATTGCCGAAAGGTGTGGTTTGGATCGGTTGATGAGCGGTTGGAAGCATACGCGTCTAGATGTCCAGCCAGTTCAGCCAGGTGCGTTCCTGTCGGACAGTAAGCAACTGGGAATCCACTTGGCGAAGTCTGGGGCTGGCAGCTGAACAAGCGGGCAGGAAGGAGGTGCCTTCATTGCATGTTACGTCCTAATTATGTTGTTACAGAATGGGAGGCTTCTGGGCCACTTGAACACATCGTCATTTCTGCGATTTATCACCACACAGCACAATCCGCATTACCTCTTTGTACTGCGCCATACGAACTGCAAGTCCAAGGCGGTTGATCCTGCCTTCTAAATACCCTCCTCTCACCCAGTCACCGGAACATCCGCAAAACAGAGGGTTCAGCAGTCGCCACCAATCCAGCGTGCGAATTTCGGTCCATCAACCGAGTCCTCAACTCACATCGCTGCAGCTAGCCATAATCTCACGCTCCCAACAGTGTCGGGGGTCTACCCAAAATCGCACCCAGGACCTTAAATCGCAAACTGCAGTAGTGTCTCCAAACCAGAGCACTGGATGTATTCCGCATTCAGCAAATTTTAAGCTCATACAGTTTAGGCTTTGCTGTTACAGCTTTGCTGTCACAGTTTAGGCTTTGCTGTCACACCGGAGGTCAACGGTTGAGCTCCGGCGGCGAACAGAGCGCACAAGGGACAACCTTATGTACCTAGGGAGGAGCAGGTATGAAACTGCTGCGGCACTGATAGCCATATTGAAGATCAGAAGCACGTCTTGCTGGGCTGTCCGGTGTACGGCGAAATCAGATCTGATAGGAACGGTTACTATACAAACCCTGACATGGTACCTCGTGAAATGGGTTCCTCACGGGCACGAGAACAACAGCTGGGCGGATGAGCTTCCGTTTCCCGATCTACCCCTTATTGATGCCTGTTTTGGACTGCGAGCCGCGTGGATGCAGGCGCCTAAAAAGGGGGCCCGGTGTTGCAGCGCCTTGTTGGCGTTACGGAGTTGTTACACTGCGGCAAGACATGATCTGTCCACTGGCTTAAGAACGGAAAGTATTGCAATCATCCTGATTGAGAGACACTCCATTGAGTTTCACACCCCCATTGAAACCCGCCGGTCTAACCGGCCGTACATTAGTTGGTTGGTCCAACGCGGCACGTTCCGTGACATAAGTCGTTGCGGTCTCCTCTAACCAACAACTCATAATAACTATACTGCCTGGGCCAGCACTCAACTCCATACGATAAAAAGTTTTTAATGTAGAGTCGATTGCCAATCGAGTTAGGAGTTTATCCAAATAGGAGCCCCAATCCTGGTGAGTGAATCCGCCCTGGCCTGCCCACATAACTCACAGTTGCTGCTTAAATTATACTCTTAACAGAACACCCGACAGGTCTGACCTCTCGCATTGCAGCGATACATCCCCACCGCCCCACTCGGCAACTAAGATCCTATCCCCCCCATTCCCATTCCCCCCCTCCTCCCGCTCACCCCTCTGATGGTGTCGCTGTCTCCTCGATAACCCCCATCCGTCCCGTGGAAAGCGCTTCCACACACTGCCGCACTCGGCTAAAGCACGAGCACCTCCCCACCCATCCAACTGCAGGTGCTCTCTCCCCCCCTCCCACCCCAAAGCTACCGCTACTGACGCAACAGCACCTCCCTGCACACCTCCCCGAAGGTATCCAGCGCCTGCCGCACCTCCTCCTGCGATATGGTCAGGGGCGGCAGGAAGCGGATGCACTCGCGGGCCCCCGCCGTCAGCAACAGCATGCCGCGGGCAGCACAGGCCTTGGTGATCGCCTGTGCGGGGCGGGGCGGGGCGGGGCGGGGGGGTGCCCGCGCAGTTCAGGAGTGGGAGGGGCAAATTAAAGAAATGCGAAAGGGAAGGGGAAGGCCAGGAAATGAAGAATCACCTCATTCAGAAGCCATATGACCTTAAAAAACCAGAGATTACAGAGTGGAATGTCCGGGCGCACCAGTGGAAGCGCTAATCAGGATCCTGAGAACTGGAGAACAGCCCATCATTTTTTAAAAGGAATGACGAAAATGTAATTACACAACGGGCGAGTCCGCACCTGGCAAGCCAGCCAGCCACCCCCTACTTCCCTCCCCTTCCCTCCCTTAACTCACCGACGCTACACCCTTGCGTGCTGGAGTGTAGCGGGGCGCAGAGGGCCCGCTGCCACCGCCCCCCTCCCCCCCACCGCAGCTAACACCGCCGCCAAACTCCACGCCCACCATCAGCCCCCGACCCCGGACATCCGCGATGAGGCCGGGAGGCAGCTGAGCGGCGAGCTCCGCCAGGCCTGAAAAAAAGTAAAGTGGGGGGGAACCAGCATTTCGGGCTCGAATGGAGGAGGGGTACAGAACTTATAGAAGCAATCAAACAAGCAACATAACTGGCAGGTAGCACCGGGGGAGGGCAGGTGGAGGCGGGGAGGGGAGTCCCCGAGATATGACCCCACCCGTGTGTGTGGCGAGGAGGCGGAGGCGGAGGAGGAGGAGGCGGAGGCGGAGGACACGAGCGGGTTGGGGCGCAGCACCCGTCCACCGGGATGGAGGCTTTAATTCGGTTTTAAATGACCGGTGTGAGTAACAGACAGCGCACGATCCCCCCTCGGTCGAACGAATCCATCGATTGACTTGTTAGTGCCCGGCACAGTAACTGATGGGTGCGCCTCAACCGCCGAGCCTATGGGGCGGCAAACGTAGGCCCTATGAGCACAGGGTGCTATAGTACGCTCAACGGCATAACAGACGTTTGATTGCCCCCAACTCCCCACTTCGCGAGAGACGCACGCAAAATCATCCATAAGAAGAAGCGTGCGAAAAGAAAGGTGGGGTTTAAGACGAACCACAAGCGAGTGAAGCTGATACCAGAGATGGAAAAGATGTGGGGTTAAAGAGAATGGCAGACAGACGGACGGACAGACAGACAGACGTCTCCGTGAACCTACCGGTCATCAGTTGCACCCCCCGTACAGCCGCGTTGCGCACCAAGCCCTCGCCGTTGATGACGTCGATGGTGGCGGAGGCCGCCGCACAAGCCACCGCATTGGCGCCGTACGTGCCACCCTGCGCCGCCCACAATACATTGACACATCACCACACACACTCACTAGGCGCAGTACGGCAGTACGGCATCAACTACAGCTGGGTTCCTTCTGGCCTCGCGCGAGAAGCTCAACAACAGAACAGACACATCAGAACAGACGCCCACCCGCCCGTCCACCCACTCACCAGCCGAAAACCACCCGCCCACCTGTTCCCCAAACCCCACCCACCCGTCCACCCACTCACCAGTGTCCCCGGCGGCATCTTGCTTGCCGGCACCAGCTCCCTCCGCATCGCGACACCCGCCAGTGGGTACCCACTCGCTATGCCCTTGGCGAATACCACCAGGTCGGGGCCGCCACCAACCGCCTCGGCAGACGGTTGTGATTGCGGTTGAGATGGTGCGGCTGTGTTGGTTGTCGGCAGCCAGTGCTGGTGGCCCCACCACCGCCCGGTGCGACCTGCACCTGCTTGGACCTGAACAGCAGGACCGGTAGCCGCAGTAGCAGCAGCAGGCGGGTAAGGGGGAGGGCAGAGTGGGTTCGAAAGGACAGCGAGGAGGGGGAGGGAGAAGGGAAGAGAAGGGGGAGAGGGGGAAAGAAAAGACGGACCACGAGCGAGTGAAGCTGCTGCCAAGGAGAGACTAATGCGCCAGAAGTAAAAAAGGCATGGCTAACCAGTCGGGGCTTGTGAAGAAGAAGAAGTCATCGCGATGATGTTAGTGGTCATGACGACCGCGGAAAACGACCTACCTAGCCGCCATAACCAAACTAAATGCGGAAAGAGAGCAGGAAAAACGTCCATAACATTGTAGAGGTAGGTGTAAAGGGGGCGAAAGAGCAAAAAACTGACGTGAGTAGAAGAGGAGGTGACGTAACCTGGAATTAAACTGCTCGCCGGCCTGGCGGCGGAATTGAGGAACCTGGACAGAACTGGCTGATAAGCTGGTAATAAGCTGCTGGTGACATGCAAGTGCTCCTCCCAATCCCCCAACGGGCTGTTGGGGTAAAGGAACCCTCGACGTATTTCACCCACACGTGGACATCTCTGATCTGACAAATCCAATTCGAAAATGAAGAATCCGTTCAGTATCTCTCGCTTATTATTTTCTCCCGTCCTCTTAACTTCCCCCCCTTCCCAGCCCGCCACCGGCCGATAGCCCCCTCAGCCCTCTGCCGCCCTTTCCCCCCACCCGGCCCCCTCCTACCCACCCCACCTCATCCGCAATGAGCAGTATTCCGTGCTTGTTGCACAGCTTCCGCAGCCCCTCAAGGAATCCGGGGGGTGGCACCAAGAAGCCGCCCTCCCCCAGCAAGGGCTCGAGGATGACGGCGGCGGTGTCCGCGGGGGCGGTCTGAGTGGACAACATCCACTCCAGGGACTGCGGCGGCAGAAAGGAAAGGGGGGTAAGTGGGGGAAGTGGAGGAAGAGGGGGGGTAAGACGAACCACTGGCGAATGAAGCAGATACCGGAGGTAGGTGGACGGGTAGTCCAGGAGAAGAAGACAAATGCTGCATCAGGAATACATACTGACCAGGCATGACTTGAATAGTGGTAATCTTGGCGGCGACGTGGCCATAGCTGTGGTTGCGAAACGATTCACTAGCTGGCAAGTCCAAAGTCCAAAGAAGGCAGAAGGCGAAAAACGCAGAAGAAGAACTACCAAGCCGGCTAGATGAAAGGAAAGTCGTGTAAAATCAGAAAAATAACGGAGACCGTAGTGCTGGCGACGTGTAGGCGCAATGGCGGCAAAGTATTGTAAGTAGTGGCTGATGTTTTGGCTGTGCTACACTGCTTGCTGACACGCAGGCATGAGTTCCTCCAAGAACCCCCCCCCAGCTAATACGCCCCTGGCCAAACCAACCCAACCCAGCTAGCTCGCCGACGCCGACGTAGCGCGAGACAACAAACGACTAAGCTCGAAACCGCTAGGACTCAGCTGGCCAGGCGGCACAAGCGGCAGAGGGGAGAGGCTCATGCCAAACGGAAAGCAAGGGAGTTGGTCAGCAGCAGCAGCGGCGGCGGCAGCGGCAGATAAACCAGAAATGCCCCTGGCGGAGTGACGCTGAAGGAAACTAGTCTAAAGATATCGGCCTGGAACAAACAAAGAGATGAACAGAAGCTGAGAAAATCAAGCGGCAGGTAGATAGGTAGGATGGGGGACCAGCGCGGTGCGGTTAACACGGCATTGAAACCGCCAACAGCAACAAGTGCTCCTAGAGCCAGAGCACCGATTGCCGTAGGAGTCCAGAGCAAGGGGGCCGGGAAGGGGGGCGGGAGGGGGAGAGGGAGGGGGAGAAGGAAGGGGGGGAGGGAAGGGGGGGAAATACATACACGTAATACAAAGAAGGCGGAAGGGAAACCACTGTCGGCTGGCACGTCCACGTCCACGTCCATGTCCATTTGAAGTTGCGAAGAACTGCTGAAGGGGAGTCCAACGCCGTCACGAGACGCACCTGCAACCTGTGAACGAACTTTACTACCGACATTTTAACCCGCTGACCCAGCTTCCCCTTCCCTGCCCGTGTGGCTTTGACGCCCCGGCCTCCCAGTCCTCTCTTCCCGGCATAGCTAACCCCCTCGCCGGCTGCTCTGAACACCCTCTTCCCCCGAACATTCCCCCCCCTCACACACACACCTCCACCCCCGAAATGGGGCTTTACTTCCGGAACCACGGGTCGGTGACTTTATCGCTTGGGACTCACGAGGCCGTTTCGGACTTTGAGGACGCCGGCAGGCAGTTCAATCCTTGGTTCCTTAACACATGATTAAGGAACCATCCCGATGAACCCCCAGACTCACCTCCAGAGGCCCCCCACAGCAGGAGATGTCCCGAGCAGCCTGAGAAGACATCGTGCTGCTGCTGCTGCAGCCGCCGCCGCTACTGTCGCCGTACCCGGCAGCAGCAGCGGCGGCAGCGGAGGCCGCCTGTTCCGCCGGATAGGGGTAGCCCGCGTGACCGCGAGCCACCTGGGCCTGATGCGGGGTTTTTGGTGATAGACGGGGGGGGGAGGGGGAAAAGGGCCGGCGGGAGGGTGGGGTGGGGCGGTCACGTGATGCAAGTGGGGGGGGCCCAAACCCCCACTTGCCGTGGGCTTGGCAGCGTGTGTCAGGAGCGGAAAGGCTGGCAGGGCGACGTGCTCTTCCCCCTCCCTGGGAGGAGGAAGGTTTGGGACGGGAAAACAAAATTGCCCGATGACTGAGACACGGTGTATGTATGTGTATGTATGTGTATGTATGTGTATGTATGTGTATGTATGTGTATGTATGTGTATGTATGTGTATGTATGTGTATGTATGTGTATGTATGTGTATGTATGTGTATGTATGTGTATGTATGTGTATGTATGTGTATGTATGTGTATGTATGTGTATGTATGTGTATGTATGTGTATGTGTATGTATGTGCCTCTGTATGTGCCTCTGTATGTCCTCGTGCTCCCCCCTTCTTTCTCTTCCCCCTACCTTGCAGTGCAGGCAGTACGGGTAGGGTGCGATGTGCACCCCCGGCATGAGGGGTCCGAAACCCTGGCGGTATATGGTCTTTGAGGAGGTGAGGGCCATGGAGCCCAGTGTACGACCATGGAAACCACCCTGGAGCCGTGGAAAAAGGGGGGGAGGGCGAGAAGAAGCGGGTGGTCAAGAGCTAAATGAACAGCATTGGAGAGGGGAGGGGGGGAGACGGACCACGAGCGAGTGAAGCTGCTGTCAAGGAAAGACTAATGCGCCAGAAGTTAAGAAGGCATGACTAACCAGTCGGGGCTTGTGACGAAGAAGAAGTCGTCGCGATGATGTTCGTGGTCATGACGATAGCGTAAAACTACCTACCTAGCCGCCATGACCAAATTAAGTGCGGAAAGAGAGCAGGAAAAACATCCGTAATATTGTAGAGGTAGGTGTAAAGGCGGTGAAAGAGCAAAAAACTGACGTGAGTAGAAGAGGAGGTGAAGCAAGCTGGAATTAGGCTGCTCGCCGGCCTGGCGGCGGAATTGAGGAACCTGGACAAAACTGGCTGATAAGCTGCTGGTATGATAAGCTGCCGGTGGCATGCAAGTGCTCCTCCCAACCCCCTCCTCGCACCCCCTCGGACTCACCTGGTGGCCAGGCGGCAGAAGCGGCAGAGGCAGGGAGGGCACATGCGAGGAGGCAGAGAGGTGGCAAGGGGTTTGTGCGCAGCGGGCGAGAGGAGAGGAGGGGAGAGGGGAAGGGTCATTGACCAAAATAAAATACAGCGCGCTCTAAACACAACAACAGCAGCGAACACAGCCAACGAGGAGGGAGGGAGGGGGGGCAACGCGGCTTCCCTTAGGGAGCCCCCCATGATAAGATGATGGGAAATTCCACGAAAAATTGGGGGTAGGTTCCAGAAAAAAGACCAGGTCAGCACATACCGCTCACTAGGGCTCTCGCACTCCTCTGCCCCGCCGCGGAAGCCAATCCCCTCCTCGCACCTCGAAGGCGATGACGTTCTGGCGGCCCGTGGCGGCCCGGGCAATCTTGACCGCATTGTCAACTGCCTCCGCCCCGCTGTTGGCCAAGAAGTAGGTGTCAAGGGAGGGAGGAAGAACCGCGGAAAGCCTGTCGTACAAGTCGACCTGGCGGCGAGGCAGGCAGGTGGGGGAAAACAGTGTTCAAGCCTCCCCCGCCGGGAGGGGGGGCCAAGTGGGGAGCTCTCGCCGCGCAGTGCAGTTGTTGGCGGTTCCCCTTGGGGGGACTGGGGCTCCTGGAGGCCCCTCCCACTTGTATTCCCTCCCTAAGGACGCCCCCTCCCTCCCCCTCCCTCCCCGGCCCTCCCCACGACCCCAGTATAGCCCACCCCACTCCGCCCCATTCGTTGAAATCCGTGTGCATGCATGCATGCACGTGTACGTATGCGGTATGTATGTATGTACGTATGTGTATATGTATGTGTATATGTATGTATACATGTGTACATGTATGTATGTATATATATGTATATATGTATGTGCCTAGGCATCCTAACCCGGGAAATCCCGCTGATCACTCTGACCCAACTCCTGGTCCACCCTAGCTAGGGTGTCACACAATTCCCCCGGTGTGTGAAACCCGGGGTTCCCTAACCACGCCACGCCTATAACCGCATACAACCCTTATCGAGTGGGAACATGGGATTACCATCCACCCATATCCACTGCTCCTTCCCATTTCCCCCCCCACATACACACCCCAACCCACCATGGCCTCATGCGCTCCAAACACGTTTTGTTGCGCATGTACCACCCTGCCCGCCTGCCTCCGCACCGCCTCCACCACGGCGGGGTGGCAGTGACCCGTGCTCACCGCACCGATACCTTCCAGCAGCGGGCGGTGGTCATTGGGCAGCGTGTGGCGGGAAGAGGGGTAGACTTACGGCAAGAAGAAGTAATGCAAGATTGGAATCGCATGTGCGTATGTATGTATGATGTTACAGGGTGGTATAGCTTCACCAGCGGCCTCCTTTCCCGAGGCAGTTCCCTGCTCTCCCCTGCGAGAGGGGCACCCTAACCCATTGACCCCATCCAAGTTCAGAATGTATTCGTTGGGTTCAGCAACTCACCACCAGCATCCAACCAAATCTAGCGGGATCAACGGCGCCACAACTTAGTTCCTGGTCAGCTCGCAAATTGCTGTAATCACGTCCTACACCGTCCATAAGATGGAGGGCCCAACTCCCAAATCAACATCCCTCACACACCGAGGGGCTGGCAGGCGGATTTGAACCCGGATCCTCCGGGAGCAGAAGTCAGGCCTTAACTTCTGCCAGCCACCTGCCTATGTATGTATGTATGTGGAGGAGGTCAGAAGTGGTCCTGCTCATTTCAATATCGCCTCAAAACCGCCCAAACACCACATACACCGCATCATACCACCGCTTTCCTAAGAGAAAACCCCCCTTTTGATTATACCTTGTGTTCATCTCTCCCTTCCAACCGCGCCTCCTCCCCTACGTCATTGCGTTCATCTTTCCATCCCCTTCCTCCCCTCCCTCCTGAACATCCTTTCTCCCCTCCCCTCTGAACCCACCACTGGTCATGTCCAGGAAGCGGCGACCATCCGTGGTGGATATCCAGCAGCCCTCACCCGACGAAACCACCAAGTCCTGAACAGGACAAAACAGGAAGAGAAAGGGGCTTAAAAAGGTGATGGCCTTACTTGGCACGTATATAGATACACATGCACTCAGGGCTTTTGAATATTTCCTTCCCCGCTGGCGTTTTCACATGTTCACCCCGGTCTCGTCGTGCTCTCTTTGTGGAACAGATGTAAGAGCACAACAACACACGTATCCGCACAACCTCGGAGAGCGGTGTCCCCGGGTAGAATACAAAAGCACACACACAGAGGGAAGAAGGGCGGAGCCCCGGGGAGTGTAGGGTGCCGAGATCGGGCACCGGACCGGCATACCGGTGACACTAAGCCATGTCCTCTGGGCGCTGTCCGCGATGCTCACGTTGAATTTCACGACCCCAGGTGGTGTGTGAGCATAAACACCATCTAGTACTTGGCGCATAGAGGTTGGTGTTCCGGCCTTGAGCAGCGTCGCAAGGCCCCATCCGGCCGCCCGCGAAGCCGCCGAGCCACTTCCACCACCCATCGCAGCTGCCATTTACTTTTCCGTTTGAATTATACGGTCGTAAATCGCCTTTTTATATGTCCTAATACGCGTGCTGCAACAAATGCCCACCCTCGGCAGTCGATTGAGAGCGCAGGAGACTAGAAATGATAACAGACCTTTTCAACAGCAATGTTAAAAAATAAGGGAACCCCCCTCCAAACAACAGAGCTTGATTCAAGCGCTCAAGTAACGCGTATTAAAGTTAAGTAATTAGAGCAGGCTGTGCGGTAGCCTTCGGCCAACACGCTGGGCGCAGCTGAGACAAATAACGCTCATTATTGGTTTACGTAGGGAATTGCTTGGGTAAACCCTTTGCGACGCGGCGGTGGTTGACAGAAGCGCTAAGGTCAACGACATTTCCGTTAGTTAATGCACTGCTTCATGCTTTAACATGAACGGTCTTGGTAGACAGATGCGGCACTCATTTGCCGGCGCATGTAACACGAAGCAAAGCACGCGCTGTGCCTGTGAAATCCTATTCCTACCCATCTAAAAGCTTGGAGAACAAGCATGTCAATGGGGGGAGGGGGGAGGAATGCAGTGTGGCCATAATAGCAGTGGCATAGCGCACGTTGCAGCTTAAGCAATCTTAGGCCTCAGGAAAGCTGGCATGTGGGTTGCTGTGGGTCACTCTGCATCACTCTTGCAGCCAGGGTTTCTCCCCTGCTTGCAGTTGCCTTGGTTGGCTTAATTGCTCGACAATACAAAAAGAACGGAGCATACGATCCATTTTGCGATGCAGCCCACGGCGGCTTTATCTGCGGGACGTCCTTCTTTTCGAGTCCTGCGAGGGAGGCAGGCCAGGCGCCGGAATCCCGGAAGCAGCTGGCAGGGACCGGGGCAGGGGCAGGGGATGCAAGGGCTGGAGCGGATGCACACGAGGCTTACCTACAGGTTCCTCACATACGGACTGTATCTCAGCGGACTAGGACCGGCGGACCGATGCAGGACCAGACTGTGTTACTGAAGGATTAAAATTTAAAGCATTGGTTAGTGGTTAGCACACCGGTGAGAAGGCATGGCACCCGTGCGTGGTTTTCTTAGCTGTGGGTGTTGCTGCACCTTCAACTGCTCTTAACAATAACGCAAATAGTTTTGCAATTAGAGCATTGTGCCATGCCATGGCTGTCCACTTTGCACACGGACTGCTGGTTTCAGCTGCACCCGCATTGTAAATCTGCTCGAAACATATGGCCTTCCTGGAGTTTTGACACAGCCCTGACCCTGAGCGCGTCTGCAAGCTCCAGAGCAGGGACAATCGTGACCCATCTGTGCGCAAATCATGCGCGCAATAATGCACTAGTGCCGAAAGTGTGTCTGCTCCGACCTGCCCGAGGCGCATGCCGAAACGGCATGCATTGCAAGGCAGCGACCTAAGAGAGGTTTCTGCGAACAATTCCGGTTGTAAGTTGACTTCGTATCTTCCTTCTCACAAAAAGAGTTTTACCACTCAGTTATAACTTGCATGCCCTAAAATCCGTGGAACTCAATATTGCAGCACGGAACCGCTTAACCGATATTAGCCCCCAAATCCTCCACAAGTGTATGGCTCTTTCTGTTTATGTCAACGACGGAAAAGGAGAGACAAGTCAGTGGAGTTGCTCGATGAAGCGAAATATGTGAACTTGACCTAAAGTTTCGAACGTGGGATTGGACTGCCGTAGAGGCGGTTGCCACATCATCAACTGTCACCGACACTGCAACAACAGATACGGCCACTCCCGAACACGGTAGATATGTCTTCTGGATAAATTCGCCTGTCTTCAAATACTTCTTCATTCCTCTGGCAGTCGGAATTCCACCGTTTTGTTGTGTTTATACAGCGCTTATCCCGAACTTTTCGGAATTAAGGCTTGGATATTAAGGAGGCTAGTAACGTGAGATAGCTCTTCAGCGAACCTCTGAGCTTCTATCCTCAAAAGTTCGTGGAAATGGATCCGTCTAAGGTGGGGTCGCAGGGACGAGCCAGGGGTTTGCGTGACCTCCCATGTCCTGGTTGAAAGTTTTGTTGGTATCCGCAACCGGCGCGGTTGCTGTTTTGAGGATTGCGGGGAACACGTGTGCCACGAATAGCCACGCCAGCGCTGCCGAAGGGCGGCCCACTTTAGCGGGGTTTGAGATTTCCTTGCTTTCTTCTACGTGAATCTCTTTTGAGTTGTGGCCATGCACTGCATGTTGGCCGGGTTTATTTGCTATCCCATTTTGAGTTTCACCCATCTTCCTGCCTCAGTTGAAACTGGAGGATACAGTAGTTTTCATCTTTGATAATCACGAGATTGAATTTGCCATTCACTGAAGGTTCGCCCGAGCTCGGCCTACAACTCGCCATACTGGACGACAAACAGCGGAGCGCCCGTATGGAACAACAACAACTCGATGACCGTGGGGCCTCGGGGACCCATCCTGCTGGAGGTAAGTCGTAGCTTTCACAACGATTTGGGTTGATGCCTTAGTCGCCTCACCTCACACCGTCTTATTTGACTACAACACGCCACCCATATCAACGTCATCCCTGTCGGAACCCTACGTTTCTTTCATCGAAACCTGCGGGGCATTGAACTGTGGCTGCTTGCTGTGGTATTGGACAGTGGCCTCGGCTTTCCATAAAGGGTTGCAAAAGAAAGTGCCTTCCCTCTCCAAATTATCACGCTCTCCGCTCCTCCCAGGACTACCACCTCATCGAGAAGCTGGCCCAGTTTGACCGGGAGCGCATCCCAGAGCGCGTCGTACACGCCCGGGGCGCTGCGGCTAAGGGCTTCTTCGAGGTGGGTTTCCTGCAAGCCGCACCATCCCTCGTTTGTCAATGCTTCTGCCTTCTTGGCGATGGCGGGGTTCGGCCCTCCAGGGTCGTTGCTGGTTGAGCACCTGGGTCATATGCGCTGTGACACGCCGCTTCCCACATTCTTTCCCGTCCACTCTGTACTCGCTGCAGGTGACCCACAATGTGTCTCACCTGACCGCGGCAGACTTCCTGCGCGCGCCCGGCGTCCAGACGCCCGTCATCGTGCGCTTCTCCACTGTGGTGCACGAACGGGGTTCACCGGAGACGCTGCGTGATCCCCGCGGTTTTGCGGTCAAGTTTTATACCCGCGAGGGGAACTACGACATGGTCGGAAACAACATGCCGGTGAGGGGAGTTGCAGCAACTGTTGGCACTCGAGTGATTGTCGAAGAATGAATGCAGCTGATTATTTGTGCAACTAAAGCGGACAATTGAACGAATGAACTGTCCGAATCATTAAGGTACACTCCTTTCAATTCTCGAATGTATGTCCTGTTTCCCACCGGCAGGTGTTCTTTATTCGCGACGGCATGAAGTTCCCCGACATGGTCCACGCCTTCAAGCCTAACCCCAAGTCTCACATCCAGGAGGCCTGGCGCATCATGGACTTCCTGTCTCACCACCCCGAGTCGGCCCACATGGCAAGTTTTGGACGGGTTGCATCGGTGATGTGAAGCATTGCTTCGGAACGTTTTAACGAGATTGTGCAGAAGTGCGAGGGTGGCATTTCAGGGTCAATAAACCACGTACGGTGTGCCGGCACAAGACTATTAATTGCAAATTTCCCCCGCTGCCCCCTGCAGCTGACATTCCTGCTGGACGACGCTGGCATTCCGCTCAACTACCGCCACATGCCCGGGTTCGGTGTCCACACATTCAAGCTCATCAACAGGGCGGGCAAGGAGACGTACGTCAAGTTTCACTGGATTCCCAAGTGCGGTGAGACGGTGGAGTGGAAGTGCAGGAAGAGTAGGAAAATAGCTGATCTGGGACCTTGTCCGGTACGACAATTCAGTATGGTATTTATATGGTGATTTCGTGTCGGGGGCCAACACACCAGCGCTCTCGGTTTGCAGCACCAGTATTTTCGCAGATCCCATGCAGACTCGATGGTGCTTTTATGACGAGTGTTAAGGATATGGTCGCGCATTTGTCGTTCCTGCAGGCGAGAAGTACCTGCTGGACGACGAGGCAGTGCTGGTGGGCGGGGCTAACCACAGCCACGCCACCAAGGATCTCTACGACGCTATCGCGGCAGGTGGGTGCGATTTTGGAGTGGGGTTCCGCCGTCCTGGTTGGTGGTCTTTGTGCTTGAGTGAGGTCTTTCATATGCTACTGGCAACTGATTGATTTTTCTTGACTGTTCTCCCGTTGGTGCCGTGCAAACAGGTGACTACCCGGAGTGGACTTTGATGATTCAGACGATGGATCCTGCCGACGAGGACAAGTGAGTGGTGATGTGATGCAGGGATGTGATGCCAGGTCACCTTACTGAACTGTCCAATGCATGCTCGCGCAGGTTTGATTTTGACCCGCTTGATGTGACGAAGACGTGGCCCGAGTCCCTGTTTCCATTGCAGCCTGTTGGCCGCATGGTCCTCAACCGCAACGTGGATAACTTTTTCAACGACAACGAGCAGGTGGCCTTTTGCCCCGCCATCATTGTGCCAGGTGTGTTCCGAGAGCCTTTGGTTTTGCATTTTAGGTTTGCCATTTGGGTTTTGCATTTGGCGGGTGGTATGGCGGGACATTACTCTTTTTCAACCACCCAAAAAACGCCCTCGGTACGAATGCCTTGACGCCTCGAGCTCAATTTGGTAATCGAGTGAAAATATGTTGCCCTCGTGCCCCTCCCCATCCTGAAGGCATTGGCTACACGGATGACAAGCTGCTGCAGACGCGCATCTTCTCGTACGCGGACACTCAGCGGCACCGCCTCGGCCCCAACTACCTGCTGCTGCCGGTGAATGCGCCGCGATGCCCCCACCATAACAACCACCATGAGGGCTTCATGAATATCATGCACCGGGACGAGGAGATCAACTATTTCCCGTCAAGGTGGGAAGAAATACTGTTAATGGGTTTTCGGATGTGGGGTACAGGAGCCAGCGGCTTCATTCGAGAAATTGCAATATTCGTAGCTGGGCAATGAGTTGGAATTCGTCATTATGGAAAAGTAAAAGTCTACTTTATGCCCGGTGAGCTTTGCTGTGTGCTGATATGTTCAAGCGCTGCGCGGAGCTGATTTCTCATTCCCGTCGTCCTTTGGCTGATGTAGGTTCGACCCTGTTCGCAACGCCGAGCGCGTGGCTGCCGTGTCGACTGCGCCGCTGTCTGGACGCCGCGAGAAGGTGGTTATTGCCAAGGAGAACAACTTCGCGCAGGTGGGGGTCTTGATGGGGTTGCCGGATGGAGGTTACTACACCCGAGGGTTGTGGGTGGATGCCTACAGGCCGCCTAGCTGTCCCAATTAATTGCTGCTAGTCGAGAACCAACCGATTTGAACCTGTCCCCTTCATCAAACGCTTTATGAGACCCCACCCCTACGATTGTTCCAGGCTGGTGCCCGATGGCGGTCATTCGACCCTGCTCGTCAGGAGCGCCTTGTGGTGCGGGTGGCAGATATGCTGGCCGATCCACGCTGCACGCAGGTATGTGTGGGGCTAACCTTCTGGCACGCAAAACTGGGGGCTGTATGCGAGGTCCACATGATGTGGCCCGAAGCTTTTGTTCTCAATATGTCGGCTGGTATTTACCGCCCCTCTCATCCATCTATTCCGCGCACCCACAGGAGATTCGGCGCATCTGGGTGGGCTACTGGTCCCAGGCGGATCCGCAGCTGGGCTCCCGTATTGCTGCCAAGCTGCAGGTGCGTAGTGGGGGTTGTCGTTTGAAGGGTTCATTTCCTTCCTCATAATTGGTTTCTATCCATCTATCGCTGTCTTGTTCCTTGCTTTTTTGATGTTGGTTCCTTGAAATGATATGCCGTCGTCGTCTCTCCCCCCTCGCCATCTTTCAGGGGCGCGGCTGCCTGTGAGATGCTATGAGCTCTCGGTTCCTCGGGATAACGGGCACGGCGACGCAGGCACCGAACGGTGTTGGCCAATCGCTTTTGTGATGTCAACTGTCACGTCATTGGCTGGTTTGTCGGTGGCTGTGATGTGCTTTGTAGTTACTGGTATTGTTGTGGTGCAAAGGGGCTCCGGCTTCGTCAACATTGACGGGTCTTTTGACACAGCGCAGTGCAAGGCGCCATAGCGCAACGCCGTTGCATGCCGCCTCTCATGCATCTCTTCAGTGCGGATGGGACAAAGTGATACGGCGTCTGTCAGCTTGCGGGACATATAAGCTACTCGCCGCTTGGCCCGAGGCGACGTTCATGGCGCTCGTTGCCTAAAAGGTCCTAGTTTTGGGTATCCGCAATGTACTAAGATGCGAGGTTGCGGATGGTTCTGTCCATTGCATGCCGTGTTGAGCTTGCAGGGCAAGGCAATAACGTGTTGCCATTTCATCGCTGAATTAGGCTTGAATTAATTTTGGCGCTTACGGCATAATCGCGCGTGCGCCTCTTGTGGGTGAACCGACTGTGTCCCGTTTGTGGAGTGTGCATCCGGGGTACCCAGCGGCATTAATTCTTGTTCGCATTCTTTTTTTAGTCGGATAGCGGCATCCTCTGTAATTTAAGCACACCGGTATGTCTGGCGTAGTACCCTGCGTCTGACAGTGGGACCCGAATAAACATCCAAAACGTGCTAGATCGAAGCCAAATCCTGTATTATGGTTCCAGGAGCAAGAGGGCATTTTTGAGTGAGTTCTGGGCGGGGCATCTCAATGACTCAATTCTACTTGCCTTCAGCGCCCTTATAAACCTTAGCATCTCCACAGCAACCGCCCGGCATGACCCCAAAGACCCCAATCCCCACTGTCATATGAGATGTATCGTCCGAAGATGCGATTACTCGTACATGATGTATAGCTTACGAAGCATCTCCGCTCCTGCTCGGGTACTTTGTCTACCACGGCGAACCAGCCAGACATACAGTGAACGGCGTCACAGCGACAATGACAGCTGTGGAGAATCTGTCAAGGCGAGGACGTCAGCGAACACACACTCTACTAATCGACCGCTGGTCAGGGAGTCTGCCGCACTCTACACATAGTACGTCACATGACTCACCGAAATTCTCACATTCGACGGCGGCGAGGGATTCGATGTACATTGACCACATCGTCGTGAAAACGGACCGACGTAAGAACATACGATGTGTGAAACAGGGGTCATATCTTCACTCGTGGCAGCTACCCTGCGAAATCCTGCCTTCCCCGGTATTTCCCTCATCCAGTCACCCTAGTCAACTTCTCAGTGGATCGCTCAGGTTCCGCACCCACCACCAGCATCCAACGGAATCTGCCGGGTCGACAGCGGCCCAACTCCATTCCTGGTCGGCTCGCAGGTCAACTTAATCCCAGGTCACCACCGTCCATCAACTAGGGGCGCAATACCTTCCACCATTGGAAGGATTTTCGACCCTGACGGGTCTCGATTACGGGATCTCCCGGGGGCAATGGTCGCATATTATCAATAGTGCCTAACCCTAGTATAGAACACATGGCAGTTTAAACGTACTACGCTCCTAAGCGATGTTAGCAGAATGATCCGCAACCATCTCCCACTGCGGAACAAACGAATTTCCAGTACACCTCTCCAGCACCGCCGCCGTACCAACCATCCTCTGCCCCAAAGGGGTTTCGGTGTTTTGTTCCCGTTCGACTCCTTCTGGCCATCGTGGTACAGCCCCGCCCCCGCCCCGTTGCAACTCTCCCCATGGAACGGATCTCACAACACCTCTCCACCCAAGACATCCAGAACACACACGCACACACCCCTACAAGGTTGCCCGGCACAGCGCAGCACAGCAAATAAAAAGACATTACAACACGTGACACCACCGCATACCACGGTGCCAGCACAGCACAGCACAGCACAGCACAACCCAGATTACATATCCTAACCCTTGCCTATGTTTTTCATATTGCCACGCTCACCAGCGTCAATACGATGTAACTGCTGCTGCCACCGCGCCCCTGCTTCTCCCACATCCCCCCCCCTTCTCTATCCACGGGTAAAGGGAATCCTCGAATGCAGCCAGGCCATGATGGTATTCCAAGCATCAGAGCGAACTGGGAAACGTGTCAGCGCAGTGAACGGGTGACCCGGAGGTCCCAGCCACTCGCCCGCATTCACCCCCGGACCGCCGCCGCCAGCCGCCATCGTAGAGCCGGTCACTTCTTTCGACATCCGCTCTAGAGCTTCTTTTGCCTGCCCCTCCTCGTCCGTAACCGCCTGCATCCGCCGATGGCGGTTGGACTCGTAGGCTCGCTGCAACGCCCCGGATAGGAGCGGACCCGCCGCATAGGCGAAGCTGAGCGAGAAGGCGGTGAGAAGGATGTGCATGCGCGGCGGGAAAGGGGAGGTGGGGTAGAGGGGAACGGAAGTGTGGAGTTAACGGGGAAGTAACGAAAAGGAAAACAATGGGGATTCGGGGACATGCGGTCACCACCACGGAGAGGACCTCCACCAGCAAAGGAAGGCCATGAGGGGGAGGGGGAGGGACGGGGACACGGAGGCGGCGGCTGATGCGGAAACATATTAGAACACATAGGAAGAGTGGAGGAGTGGAGGAGGAGGCGGTGGAGGTGAACCGAGCCGGAAGAAAATGTGAAGTGATAGCTTTCCGGAGGACATTGATGCACGCCACCTCCTACCGCTCTACTGGCGCACGGCCACGGTCTACCCAGCCCCCTTCATAGCTCAGCCCAACCCTTCAAGAACAGCCCTCCTTGCCCCCTAGGTGAAAGGGCCCTCACCGGTGCCACACCACTGCCAGTCGCCTCTGCATCCGCTCCACCTGCTCGGGGGAGATGTGCAACAGAAACTGGAGGGGGGGCGGGAATAGGGTTGGGGGAGAAAGGGGGTTTAGTTGTGAGGAAGCGGCAGGCCGGCTTGATTGTGGTTTTCATGCGGGACGGGTAATCCGTGTGCAGTCGAAAGTGTTTCCCACTGAAGGGACGACCGTATCTGTGCGTCTATATGTGTGTACGTGTGTATGTCTGTATGCGTGTACGTGTGCGTACGTATGTGTATACGTGTGCGTATACGTGTATGTGTGTGTCGATGACGCGCACAGTGCTTGCTAAGTTGAGGCCGGGAAATGGTTGGGCACACAGCAGCACACAGCACCCGGGGATGCAAGGCCCCTAAAAACCCTCCTCCTCCACCGCCGTCATGCACCCTGTTCCTCAGCCAAAAGACACGCCCAGGGGATATCCTGTGCACCCAACCTCATTCCCCTCAAACCCCTCCCACTCCTCCCCCGCTACCCATACACCCGGCCACCTCTGCACCCTCTATCCCACCCTTGAGCCACACGGCTGGCGGGTCCATTATCTCGCCTCCCTAAATACCCACCTCGACTTCACTTCTCCCAACCCCCCGCTCTCCCCCCTCCTCCTCCTCCTCCTCCCCGCCCTGTAATCCATCCCGGCCCACCCGCCCACCGGCCCCAGCCGCACCTCGGGCAGCATCTCATTGACCGCTTCCTCCCGCAGACGGATGGAGAAAGCGTCCCACTCGATGATGCTCTCAAAGGGTGCGTGTACGGCATCCATAATCTGGCAGGAGCAGACAGATGGACACACAGACAGACAGACAGTTTTATTTTAGCCGACATCCCTTCGCCTGCATCATGCTAACACAAGTCACGCGCGCCACTTCCGGTGGCAGGATTCACACCAACTCTGGATGTTTTCGTAACCAAAGAATCTGTTGCTGGGTTGCATTAGTCGCAATGGGGCGAAACAGCGCCGTCAGAACAAAATAAATTTGAAGTACGCAGCACGGCGTCGGCGTCGGCGGCTGCAGACGTTCCCGCCCTGCCACCTGCCAAACCCACTCGCTCGCTCACTCACCAACACGGGAATGCAGCCGTGCAGAATGGCATCCTCCGCTCTGGCGCTCCACCCGTCCCCTGTTGCGGCATGTAAGGCCCCCGGGGGAGAGGGGGGTGAACCCCAGCAGTGCAGACAGGGGGAGGACCGGGAGGAGGAGAAAGGCGACGGGGGGGAAGGGCTGTCCGCAACGAGGGCGACCGCCATATTGGGGCAAAACAACGCGACCGCAGCCCATGCCCACCAATTGATGCCCCCCCTCTGCCGGCGCGTAAAGTCACCAGTGCCCCCCTTACCTGCTTCCCTACCTTCCCC